CTATACCTTTTGGAAGAAAAGATTTATATAACGCCAAAAAAAAAAAAAAAGCCAAAAAGAAAATTCAACGTTGTCATCCTTTTTAAAAAGTTTTAAAAATAAATTTAAAGAAGAAAAATTTTTGAAATCAATATGTTCGTGTGCATACAACACTAATATGCGTATGTGTAATATACATATATGTATACGTGCTAAGATTGGAAACTTTAAAATCCTAAAGCTTTTTCATGAAATGGAAAAAAAAATATTATTATATTTAAAATCATAAAAAAAAGTGTAATAAAGGAAAAAAAATAAAAAAGAGAAAAATAACATATAAAAGACACGTTTTGAATGTTTTCAAGGAGATTTATTACATTTTCACAATCATATTATGCATATAAAAATTTTATATGAGTGCTTGTTTTATTCTTAAATACAAGTATGAATTCAACGGTTTAAAATATTGAAGTTTCAATTTCGATTTATAAGAATATATGAAATTTATTGAAATCTTCTATCTATTGTTTGTACAAAAGTACTTATTACATCATTGAATGATTTTTTTCGCAATGAATTAAAAAGAAAGCGAGAAAATTTGCAATACATACATAATATACATAACTTGAATATTTTAATAAAAATTGCATATGCATCAGGCGCAAAATTTAATTTAATATGGTGAAAACCTTGCATCCAACATAAGAAAAATTTTGAAATATTTTAAAAAAATTCATACTAATAATAATTGTTTTGTCATATTTTGACATAAAATATTTAATTAAAACTATATTGTAAATATAATATAATTATAATATATATTTAATTATTAATTATAATATATATTATAATTAAAACAAATAAAATATAGTTCTTTTAATTTACATTTTGCATATTTATGAATGCTAAATTTCGTTGTTTTTCTAAATTATTTGAAAATTCTTAAAATGTGAGATAAATTCTTGCTAAAGCAGGAAGAAGTCAACCGGTTGAATGCAAAGGTTTTTTAGAATAAATTGTTGATTGCCGGTATGTGACCGTCAGATGCAATTGTTTGTATGTACAAATATTTAAAAGCCTAGAATTAGAAAATATTACAATTAAAATGTCTGTGAAAACCTAATGAAAGTATTCTTATATTTTGTCTTCAAATATATGTTGTTCAATAAATCAAAAATATAAACTATTACCTTTGACCTTTGAATAATTTCCAACCGCACCTCTTTATTATAAATAAAAATTTATTTTACGACTACGAATACGAATAAGTACTTACGCTTACGAAACTTTTAAAAATAACGAAAAAGATATATTTTATTTTTCGAAAATGCTTCTTTCAAAGTTTTCAATAATTTTTTTTTTCTTTATTATACACTTTTAAAAAGATCGAAAAGTAAAACTTTTACACTCCGACAATAATATATAAATTTTATTTGAATCTCAATAAATTAAATGTTACTTTTCCACAATTTTATTTAGCAATAAATTAAAATATAAATAAAAGTAAAAAAATTTTCCAAAAAAAAAACAAATACAGTTTAATGCCATAAAGAAGGATTCCTAAAATCTGATTTCCTTTAAGTTTACTACATTGTACTTCATGATTATGTGAATTAAATAGTAATAACTTGCAAAAATAAAATTGTATTCTTTTAACTTAGTTCTTAAAGTTAGCACTTATGAAAAATGCTTGGTATTTGGCTTACAAATTGACATAATTTATTCTTTATATCTTTGAATAAGGCATATGTGTAAATGAATTTATAAATTTATGTGTCATTTCATTACCAATTGTGTCCCAAACATTCTTCATACTATGTAACATTATGATAAACTTTATTACATATAAACATACTTAGATTATATTCATATAATGAAATTTTTTATGTGTAGTTGATTGAACAAATGCGATTGGTTAGATTAGATGGTTGGATGGGTACCAATGAAAACAAGACAATACTTAAAATGGTTTTGTCAGATCATTTTCAAATAAATCTCACACTAAAATTATTTATTCGAGACCTAAAAATTTTACAAAAAAAGGCTAGTATTTTCGTTTTTTCATATTATATTGATTTATATTCTATAATCAACATTTTCGAAAAATAATTATCTCGTTAAGAAAATTTTAAGAATTTATAATTAAATTATTCGATTAATTGGAGAGACGAACTTATCCCAAGTACGTTATAACAGCAAAAATTTTATTTAACCTTTATAAAAAGAATGCAAACAAAACAAACACAAAAAAATGAAAACATTCTAACAAATTCTGGAAAAAAAAAACTGAAAACTTTTAAAATAAACGCAAAAAAAAAATTTTTTTTTATTGTTTTTGAAAATTAAAAGCAACTCTACGTACTTTTAAAATAATTATAAATCTTTCGAAAACCTTCTACATCATTATGTATACCTTTAGTTACTAATACAAGTATATTTATATAATTTGATTGTGTTAAAAATTTTTTTGAAAGTGAGTAGACACTCTAACATCCTACATGTAACTATCTGTTATCTTAGTATACACATGTATACTTCTAAATATTACTTATTTCCTTATAGTTTTCTTTCATTTCCCAATAGTACGTATATATATGTATAGATATGTATTTATAAAGGATGTAACAGGATATATACTGTATTAATAACTGGCATTAGTATTTTAAGAACATGCCTGTAAATATATGTACATAATCTGTACATATATATGTTTTCCACAGAGTTTTTCAAAAACCAATAATTCCTTTTTCACCTTTTAATTGCACCTTAATTCCTATTTTCTTCCTTTTCATTTATAATTTGTCGACCTAAAAAGTTTTATTCAACCAAGATGGGTATACTTGAGAAATAAAAATCCACAAATTGCTTCAAATTTCCACTTAGGGACTATTTGTTTTTTTGAAAATCTCTGATGGCGCACTTTTGTGGTTTGGTTCTTATTTTATAAATTCATTTTTCCTTATTCTGCCATTTTTTCGAATTTTTTTTTCTCCTTTTTTTTTTAACAAATCTTTTGTGTCCTTTGGAAATTTTATGGAACTTTTAATTTTAGAAAAAGAAAAATTACAATATTTAAAATAAAAAAAATTTGCCTTATCTTAAATTTTTCGAAATTAAACTATTAATTAACAATTTATCATAAAAGTTATAACTACATATTGCAATTATTCCATAGTATTGTATTTTGTTAGAATTTTTCAACTTTAAACAATTATAAATGCTAATTAATCAGTTCCTAACTATTCCTAGTTTTGAAATTTTAATTAAAAAACAATTATAGTTAAAAAAAAAGTATTACTAGTAAGTAGTATTTTCGCGGATGTTCAATTGCATGCTAAACAAGAAAATTATGCATTAGGTAAAGTATATTACCCATATGATATCTAATTATTCAAAACCAATTAAATATTTTGGTATTTTCATAAGTATTAACATGTAAGTATAATTATATTTTTTGCTTAAATAATCCTGAAATAATAAATACTGACATAACACATATTATATACGTACATACATATATTATACAACTCAGAAAAACCACCCCATTTTCAAAAAATTTCGGAATGTTTATAAAGCTGCCTACCATCATTGTGTATATAATTTATAGTGATACATAGAAGATCGCACAATAAACTAATTTTTCTGAGGGGCGTTAGTGTGTAGATATTAAGTTTTTTAATTTAAAAAGCACCACTCAAAACAAGTAATTCTATTATGAAATTACAAAAATTGCCTTTTGTATATAACTATATACAGAATGAATATATTTTTATAGAGCTTGTAAGCGAATTTTTGAAATATTACTCAACAAATTTACAGATACATAAGTGCATATACATATCTAATTTCTATACAATAATATTGATTTCTATATAATAATATTGAATTTATAAGTGATAACTTCATTGTTCTTCAAAAAATATTTTATTGTATTGAAAATTTTTAATAAGTATTTATTCAGTAATTATTATAAAGAAAATAGTTTGTACAAAGCGTACATATAAAAAATTTTTTACTATTATACATTTTTATATATTTTATTCAATCTGGTACTCTTAGCCTTGTTCTAGTACGTGGCAAATTTCGAGATTTCACTGGTTCTCTAGCTGATAGCATTGCTGTATTAATAATAAAAGAATATTTTGGTGTTCTTTTTAAGAGCAATGCGCAGTAAGAGTGGGAAGAAAAATTTTAGCTATTATTAGACGTTATTTTAGCTTTACTTATTAAATAAATATAAAATCAAAAAGATTAGTTACATAACATGGCATTCTTACTGAAAATTTGAAATATCAATTAAAAAGTTAAAAATGGGATTAGAAAAATTATATATATTAAATGAAAATGCCTTCACGAATAAATCTTAATGCCTTCATAAAATATTTTTTTATAGCTAAATTATTATGTTTTTTTGTTTATTTTCTTTATACAGAAGGTTTACCTTATCTTAATTTAGAAAAAAATTTATTCTAATTTTTTATATACAAGTTTTATTAACCAGACGTAATTTTACCTCATTTTCTTGAATTAGCAAGAAAAAATGTTTTAATTTGACCGAAAGTTGCTTGCTTTAAGCTTTATTTTGTAAATATGGAATTGTACTTAAATATTCAAAAAATATAGATTATTTAATTTAAAAATTTTTGAAAAAGCAGTTTGTATTTTCATTTTTCATTAAGAACTTATTTAACTTTAGCAGCAGAAATAAATTTCAATATTGCTATTTGTATTAAAGAAATTTTTTGCACTTATTGAAGTACAAACTTTATATCAGAGTTATATGCTTTTATTCAATTAATCAAATTTTTCAATTCTCTATACCACTTAAAATATATATTAAATAAATAAAAATTAAAAAATTAAAACACAAAACTTAGTCTTCCAACATTATAATTCTTCCTATATTAAACATATATTAAATATATGTTTATATATACTAAATATATATCAAACATTATACTCTTCCAACATTTTATTTGTTTTTATTTGCAGCATTAAAATTAAAACCGCGTATTTGCGATAAATTTTTAAGGATCTTAATTTGCAATTGTAGTTTAAAATGTAAGAACATTACTGTATTTTCCAAAACACTTTTTTAACAATTCATGTCTGATTCAAATTCAAATTTACTGCAAAGAAATAGTAAATAGTAAGTATCATAAGTACATATGTAATTGAATGGAATTGAATTATTAAAAATATCATTTCACTTTTACTGAAAGTTGATCGAAATTTTTGGTTTGAGTTTGTCCCAATAGGGTAGGGTACGGTTTTATAAATACATTACGTGCAGAAACGTATATCTGATGAAAATTTTAGCAATAATAATTTTTTCAAAGCACATAACAATTTCAGAAGTAATCCGTATCAAAGCATCAACCTATATCCTTATCGTACCTAGACTATATAGTTAAAACTTTCTACTATATAGTTCAAAATATTTTATGAATTATAACAAGTTTATATGCAGGACGATTCGAATTAACCTTTTGTATTAATTTTTAATACCTTGTTTGAAATATTTTACTTAATTACAATGTAGCTTTAGAGACAGGAAGTAAAAAACGTTTCATAAATAAAACTCTTTATTTTTTAAAGTAAAAAAAATATACATAAATATTAGCACGTATATTAATCTATAAAAAAACCGTGTACTATTTACATGTAAAATCCAATTAGTATAAACAATTGATTTTATCATTTTGTTATTCAAAATATTGAAAAACATTTTTGTATGAATAAGTAATAATTACTACAATTAAAATCTTATGTACATAATAAAAAATTGTATCACGTAGGTTCTAACTACAAATTCGTGCAAAAGTGTAACGTGTATGAACGAAAAAATAAAGTTCTTCACTATATTTAAAAACCCATAGCTTTTAAAACAATTAATCAATTGAAAGTCAAATTAAACCTTTAAGAATTGTTTGTAAAATAAATTACATTCTGAAGTTTAAATTCTTGAATTAGGAATTTTTTTTAAGAAAAGAATAGGTATTTAATTTGCGAAACGACCGTTTTTTTAAGTACCGTTATTAAACTTTAATTTTATGATTCAATGGAATACCAATTTTAATTTTTAATCAATTTAGTATAGCATGCCATTTTGTCTAATATAAACTAAAGGTTTAAAATGGGTTATAGAAATATATTGTTAAAAATTTATATATAAAAATACAAACTAGCAATTTGCTACAATTCACTTTTTCTTGAATAATTTGTAGTCATAAAAATTACTAGTCCTAAAAAAAACGCTTTAATTAGATTCTGGCAGTAATTAAGAGCAATAATTATCAAAACAAAAAGTATGTCAGTCCGATAAGGTAACAAGTTTCTCATACTATCATATAACCATCACATCAAAAAGTAAATTATAAATCAATTTGTGGGTAAAACCTAAATGATACAACTCTAAATACTTATTACTAAAATATTATCTCTTTGTACATATTTACATTTTAGCAAAATAATCTTCACTTGAATTTTCTCTTCTTAAAATAGGTGACATTCCTGAAGATGTAGTTGCAATGTCTTTACATGATTGAAAAGGATGTTTTTCCAGTGATTTAACTTTTTTACAACTGAATTCATCAGAAGTGTTTTGCTCCAAGGATTCTACCTAAATAAATATGTTTTAATACATTATTATAATACGTATACAAATGTAGATTCATATATTCATATACATTTTAACTAAAAAACTTACAATTTTTTGTCTCTTCGGCAAATTTAAAATATTTAACGTTTGCGTTTCTTCGGGTGTTATAACTTGAGTTTGAGCATCAAAAATTGCGTTATCCGAATTGTTTTCAAATAAATCAAATTCATCATCGTCGTTTTTTATTGTTGTTGACTCATCACTTATTTTTCTTTTGGAATTATATTTAACAGAAATACCCTCAGTTTTTAAAATATTCTCTAACTTTATTATTCTATTCTTCTTTGAGTTTAAAAGCAAAGCAAATTTGCTGAATAACGTAATTTCCATATCATCTTTTTCCGCTTTACATTTTTGATATTTAGCTATTAAATTATTCATTTCCGTTTTAAAAGTGTTCAACGTCTCATCTTTTTTTGATAAAAGAGCAATCAAGTTTTCATTTATATCTAAGGAATAGTCCAGGAGCATCATTTTAAATTCCTCAAAAGTTTCAAGAACTTCAATTTCAAAATAAGTTGTCTTGAATCTCTTGCATTTCTGTAATTTAAATTTTCCATCTTCTAAAATGTAGTTAAATCCTTCTCTTCCTTTATTAGTTGTTAATGCTAACTTGCATTCATCTTTAAAATCAGTCAAATTCATGCTAAGATCCTTAGCTGACGCATGCATTGTTTCTTCAGTGATTGTGCCAAACCATTTTTTAAGTCCTTGAGTTTCCAATACTTTAACGCCGATATTTTTACCAGACCAATCAGATAACACATAAATGTAATTATTATTAGCGGGAAGTTTGCTAATATGAGTTTCGTTGATTTCACAACAAGCCATAGAAAATATATTTACACAAATCGCAATATATATACAATTAAAACTCTAGTTAGATCTAAACATGTGTACATATATTTTCACTTAAATATTTTTATAATTTTTACAATTTTAGACTTGTGAATCTTCAACGAAATACGATACCTTTATAAGTGTTTCTAATGATCTGGCTTAATATGAAAAGTTTAAAAATCAAGAATAAACAAAACCATAACAAAATCTTTATTTGTTTCGAAATTCATTATTGACATTTCAAATTTGATTAACATTTGACAGTTTTCATGCTGACATACAAGTTCAAGAAAATATAATTTTTTAGTACTAAATACTAAATAATAATGCGGTACTAGATATACCGCAATAAAAATAATCGTATAGCCGCTGCGGTATATTAATATTATACAGCGCCTAAATTACATAGGAGGGACTATAATTAACAAACGAATCAGAAATACTAAAGGAGAAAGGAGAATCTTGGAAAAAAAATTAAGCCAAATTTTTCTAGTTATCTCTTTCATTGCTCCAAACGTTGTCAAAGTCATAACAAGGACGTTTTTTTCTTATATTAATTTTTTTCTCCTTTTCTCTTTTCAAGTTTTTTTCATAAATTTCAAAACAATAAGATATTTTTCATACTTTTTTTTACCTTTCTAAAATTAATTTATAATTTACGAAAATTTTACAACTTTTTGTTCACTATTTATTCTAGCACAGTGTTCTTTATAAAAAAAGCAACAACATCTGGCATTTAATGTTAATTTCAGTTTGACAATCCTTGGAGTAAAGGAGGAGACTTATCTGAAGTTTTTGGCTTTATTATGTTTTTTTCAAGATATAATTTTTTAGGGACTGTAAGAGCCACATTAAGGCGGGTTGTCGAATAATGCTTCTACTTAATTTTCGTTAAAATTCAGCAGGCTTAAAAGCCGAACTACAATAACTTGGAAGGGCATATGTTCAACCAGTGAATGAATCAGAATAGCTGAATAGAAAAATATCTAACACAAAAGCATAGAAATAATTGAGAGGTACTATGTATTTTTTTTCACGTTGTTTTACTTTATAAATATTAACTTGTAATTTCTCTTTAGTCAATTATTATTTTGTAAAATTTTGTAAAATCTAATTTAAAAAGCAACAATCAACACTATTTCGTATATCATTTGGGCTATGAAATTCCATTTAATTCTAGTTGCCTCATATGCTGCTATTAAACGAAAAATAAACCGCTAAACATATAATATATTTTTGGCAGTTTTCCGTTTTTACCTTGGACTTTATTCACAAATTGTAAATTACAACATACATTGGCAACTTTAATCTCATTGGCATAGGCCTTAAGTTCTAACAAAACCATTCATTTTATTTATACAAAACAATTCGAGAATATATAATGCTTATTTTTTTACTCACAAAAATTCAAAAATTTTTATGAGAAAAAAAGTAAGACAATTTAAAAAAAAGAAGTTCTTTTCATTCAATTTCTGCGGAATATATTTTATTATGCATTATGCAAAATCTTTTTATTGCTAATCTATGGTTAATTCGTCTATTGCCTATGCTTGAAATTCTTTTTTTTGAACCACTTCGTTCAACTGTCAATGTAATTAATACAAATAGTGGTACTTGTCAAAATCAGCAGTTTGTAAATTTTTTTGCTTTGTTTACTTTAACTATTAAAAAGAGATTAAAGAAAGAATTTTATTACAAGGTTTATAAAAATATATAGAAATAAATTTTACTATATACAAAATAGTTTACAAAAATGTAAATTCAGAATATCTTTTGAAATGAAATCATATATACGAAATTTTTGCAAATATCAATGTTTCTTATAGTATTCATTTTAATTGTGCGCAGTTAATTCAAGTTTCGCAGTTATTAATTTTTTTTTAGTAACTCGCTTGTTTTTTTTTTTTTCAATATTTAGATAATATTTTTTAAATATATTTTAAACAAAAAAAAATATTGTGCTGCAAAATAGACTGGAGAATTTATTAAATTTCTAATATTTTTCTTAAATGATTAAAATTAATCTTGAGAAGCCAAATAAATGTGTAAATACATACATATACATATATAAGGTAAATAATTAAATAAAATGTATTTCAACATTTTAATTTTAAAATTTTTGACTTAAAAATTGTATGTAGGTAATTGATTTTTAAAAAAACTAAAGTGGCATCTAGTTGCATACATAAATAACTAGGTGTAGGTTTAGATATGTACATACATGTAGGTACATAGGATAGCTGTAGTTCTTTTTATTTAATAGATCCACAATATTTTGCGATTCTACCTCTTTATGAGTGTCCCTATGTATGTGCATTTGGACTTAACAACATGTACCTATGCACTGCACTTACTTCCATAATTGGTTTTTGGTTTAATTTTTTTTTTACTAATATCTAATAGTTTTTTGGTACAGCAGCACTTACCTATATATCTAAAATTCGACATTTTTAGAACAATGACTTGTAATTTATGGTTTAATTTGTACTTGTATATTTAAATTTATTGTATTAAATTTTAATAAATTGTATGTTAAATTTATTGTATATTTCACAACAAATTTAGTGAATATTAACATTTAATACAAACACATTAACGCAATTTCATGATATAAAGAAAAATGCTTTAATAATTAGTTTCGTATTTTTAGATATACATACATTCATATAAGTATGTAGCTATACTCTAAAAAAATATAAAGCACTAAATACATGTACATACATATATATATTTATTATAACGCACATATTATGTTTTTTAAGTGGACCTTATACCAAACTTTAATTATCAAAAATATTTTGCGCCTAAATAACGGGAATCAAATGTTTGTAACACATAATTAAATAGGGGTATGTATACGTATGTACTTATATGTATGTATGTATTCTTTTGTGAATATAGATAATAAATTATCGTTTTTTTGTGTTTCCGCCAAATATTTTTTAGCATTATGTTAATTTTCTTTTAAAAAAGTAGCGATTGATTTGGTAATTCTCAATGATTAGAGATGACATTTAGACATGAACATACGTATATACATATGGACGTGTACATATTAGAATTATGGGAGAAACTCGAAAGATTGAAGATTTTAAAATAAAAACAAAGTTTTAAAATCTAGAAATTGAAAAACGAAATATGACAGAATCACAGCATTATGCGATTATAATAGCTTAAAAATTGAATGAACATCTGTAAATCAAAATAAAAAATTTCTTAATTAAATTATTCAATTTTCCCTTATGTATTTAAAAAACTGATCTTATCATGTCATGACTTTATTAGTAAAACAAGTATGGAACGAATTAAAAAATAGTTATCTTATCAGTTTTTATTGCTTCATTTGTTTTCCTCTTATTATTACTATTATTATTATTAAAATATATAATATGTACATACTTATTTAAAAATCAAATTGTTTATATTTATTATTAAAAGTGTAATATATGTATATATATATACAAAAATATATACTTATATACATAAATATTACATTCCAATGTAATATTCAAAAATGTACATATGTATATACATATTTCTTCATGTATGACACATATAAGTTTATATGCATACAAATCTATCTCAAATAAAAATTTCACTTTTTACATCTTATTACATAGTTATAGATTAGTTATTTAATCGCAAATATGATTGATGTAAAAAGGAAATAAATAAATAATTTATCCCCTCTATCTCGAAATTATTTTTTAAGTTTACAATAAAGTTTCTTAATTTGTCATATAATTTTTTTTTATTTTAGTTTAAATTTGTGGGTAGCATAATTAACAAACTGATTTAAACTCCATAAAGGACAAAATGTATTCAAATTAATGCACGTTGATACACACTAGAAATTCCTTCAAAATGGATGATATAAGTCAAGATGCTTTAATTAGAAAACTTCAAATTTTATGGAACAATTTCTTGAAAGATGAGAGTGTTCGAAAAAAAGTAATTTGTTAAATAAAAATTTTGTTTTTATAGAGAATAAATATTAATGTTTAACAGGAATTTTGGGCTTTCTTGTTCCTTTTTGAGTTCAAGAAATTGAATCAAAACAATTTATCAATTGGAACAGCTACGTAAGTTAATCATTATTGTATGAATATATTATTCATTTTAATTATTACTTAATATTTAAAATGTACATACTTAACATTAAAAGAAAAAAACACTACTTATTTAAATTTTTCTATTTATTGCCTATTTTATTTTTAGTTAATTTATATTTTTCTGATAATGGTTGATAATAGGTCAAAATATACTAACGATTAAATATTATGGTATAGGGTGTCTTCGTTGTTAGAATCAAAAAATATTAAAATCTAATTTCAGATAAAATTATTAATATTAATTATTGTATGTAAATAATTACATAATTTCGCACTTTCTTTCTAATATAAAATATTTCAACTTATTTTAACAGTTTTCTTAATTCTGTGGCTTTTCAATTAACTACATATATGCTTCAATTGGTTTATAAAATTATATGCGATTCTATGTGCGATGATCACGGGAAAGAAAACAATCAAAACGATGAGTCAATTGTCCAAGATTCTTCAATAAATATAAAGAGTTCACAAAGAACTGATGAATTTTCATATGAAAATAGTAACGCATCACAGGTAATAAAAAATTAAAATATAAATTTGATTTATTAAGTTTTTATTTCACAGGCAATGTTTAATAATCCTAATGATATAACTGCTATTTTATCATTGAGAAAATTTCTAACTGATGGTTTAGGTGGTCCAATTTTAGAATATTTACAAAATTGTGATATTAAGGTAAGTCACCCATTTTTTATATATACATTTATACTCGCACATTCATATAAAAATAAAAACTATAAATTTTCGTCTGTTTTTTTAATACTCTACCCCATTTTCAGTTTAAACTAGAAAAGTTCATTGAATTCATTTACTTAATTTTATTACAATCAGATTGTACTTAACACATACTCGTATATGTATAAAACCAAAGTTGTGGAAATATTTTTATTTTTAATTTTTATCAACGATTTTTCGAACTTTCTTACTTACTGATTTATAGAAATCGTAAAAGTTGGTTTTGCAAACATAAAACAATGTTTGTAAACTTTAATTTGTTTATTCTGTATCATATATCATAATTTTATAATTTTGTAATATATTTATTTCTCTTTATTAACATATTTTTTAATTTTGTAATATATTTATTTCTCTTCATATATTTATTCTCTTATGTTCGTTTGCACAATTAATATATTAATATTCAAAATTTCAGTTCTTGACATCACGGAAAATATTAGCAACACTTTTAATTAATTTATTTCCAAATTCTGCTTGGGAAAATGATCCAGTGGAAAATCCAAATATCCACAACACTAGCTTGCAATATGAGATATCGATCCCAACATTAGATAATTTTATAAACGATTTAATTTTGTTACGCTTACCAAATTTTAAAAAGGTTATGCCAAAAAATATGACTGATTTAACGACAAACTGTAATATCAATAAAAAATTATTAAAGGATATTAAATTCGAAGATGATATTTTTACACCAATTAAAGCAGCTGCAGCTTCAACTGCTTTCGGAGAAATAAATGATGATATTGAGAAGATCGAATATAATCAGATAGAATTTGAAAACTTTCTTTCCGTTATAAGAAAAAGTGATGATATCGCATTATTATTACTAAATTTATTGCAAAAATTAGTTAACGATGAGAATGGAAATAATTTAGAAGAAAACTCAATAACTATTGATTCATTAAAATTTGCAATGGAGAATATTACAAATAAAGATTCTGTTATGTTATTTTCAAAACGAAAAAACTTTTATCGTATAAAATTAAAATTTTTGTTTCTAATTCAGTGTTGTCTTAATAATATTTTTATAAAACGCTCCAACTATTCCTTAATTAATTTTAAAGAACTTTTTATTAATTTGATTTTATGCTTAGAACAAATTTGTTTAAATAATAAGGAATTGTTACGTTCTTGTGTGAATTTAAACCAGCGAAATGATCAATTAAATAAGGAACAAAAAACGATATTATCAGAGAATTATCAAACAATCTATGAAATTTTATACTTGTTATTTGCATTATTGAATAATTTTATGTTAATATCAAATTATAAATTAGAGAAAATTTTAAATATTTTTAAATGGATTGATGAAGCAAAAATTTCAAAAGCTTTAGATATATTAAACAATTTACTAATTGAATTAGATAGAATAAATAATAATAAGCAGTTATTTTTTAAAAAAATTATTGAAATCTTAATGCATATAAGTAATAATATAAAAATTTTCACTTATCGTAATGATAGTAAAAAATTTACAAAAAAAAAATTAAAAACATTTAAACAACAGCAAAAATTAATAATTAATAAACAAATACACTGTAAATTTAATCAGATGCCGTGCATAATAGAAAAAATATTATTAAAAATTTTTATAAATTTAGATGTTAATATACAAGATATAATTATAAAAAATTTTCAAAGAAATGCAATATGCTGTTGTTTATATAATATTGAAACATTAGAAATATTTTGTTTTAATACATATGATTTGAATATTCAAAAACAAATATATACATTTATTGCTAGCCGTTATTTAAAAACAATTTTAACAACAAAATCAATTTGCAGCTTATGTGATATGAAATCAAAATCATATGAATTACATTACGATATTTATAAAACATATAAGAAAAAATATTTGAATATAAAAAATGTTTCCGATTTATTAATATATTTACAACATTTATTAAAAGTATCAAATTTATTTACATTTGATATATCATCAAGGATACTAGTTGATATTATTTTACCAATATTTCGTTTACAAAAGCAACTATATATTGAAAATTCACATAAAAATTGCAATAATACTGAAAGTTATATACAACAAAGTACTATAAATTATGATAAATTAAAATTTGAAGATATTTACTCATTATCCAGTCTTACATTAAATATTATTTTAGAATGCTTAAATGTATTTGCTTTATATTTAAATGATATACGCTTAATAAAGGGTTTTTTTATTAATGAAAATTTAGATCACTTAAACGATCTGTTATATATACCAGAATTATCAAAAGTTGTATGTGATATAATACGTATTGGTATTGATAATTCGTCATTTTTGGGTGAAACTCCTGATGAAAAATATAATTTAAATCAAAGATTATTTGAAATGCAAATGAATGCTGTAGAAAATTGCTCAAATTTAATAACATTAATATTAATGAAATTTCAAAAATACTTCAATGGTATTGATATATTATATAATTATGACAAAGATAATAAAATAATAAACAGTGAAAGTTATTTGAAAATAATGTATGATGAAAAAAAATTGAATTTATCACAAATATTTTACATGGCTACAGTATATTGGAATTCGACATTCGAATTGTATAAAATAAGTAATTTATTCCGCAAACAATTTCAAAATATTTTTGGCAACATTAGAAAGGAATCAGATAATCCCAAAAATGAGAGGGAAAAATCTAAATCTAAATTAGATATTTCAAATGAGAAATCATTAAACGAAAATAAACTTTTCAATCTTGTATATAATTCTTTAAGTTTATATTTATATTATTATAAAAACGATAAAGAAAATATTGAAGAAAATTGTGATAAAAGTGAGACAGCAGAACTATTACAAAACATATCAAGCATTCTTCTTCTTGAAGAAATTCTAAAAATATCAAAAAGAGAAAATATTTACATAGATAACTTTAAATTAATAAACATTGCACTTTCAAAAGATGATGATGAGGAATCACTTGATAATGAAAAAACTTTTATGAACAGTAGTAATCTTGAATTATTTCAAGATAATACACTGTTATCAGCTGAATACATAAATACTACAGATGAAATACAAAAATATTCCAATGAAGAGATTTGTTTTGAACTTTTTAGCCCAGAATATTTTAAACCATCAACAATATTTTTAAATTACGAAGCAAACTGTTTCTCCAATAATGGTTTTTCGAGCCAATTTCAATTTGAAAAACTAACTTGCACTAAAAAAGTAACTTGTTACCAGGAAGGTAACAACTTTTTGAATAATTTAAAATCATCAAATAATAAATATATTTTTAATATAAATAATCAAAAACTAGATAGAAAATTTTATGAAAATACAAATGAAGAAAAAAACCAATTGCAACATACTGAATATCATTTAAATTTGTTTGAAATATTTGAGTTTGCATTGAAGAGTTTAAAAAATCAATTACCAAAATTTGAATTGTTTTTTAATTATGAATTCAATGAAAATCTCAACGAAAATCGAAAAAATGGTTGTGATAACGCTAATAAAAAATTTAATACAAGTGTAAATAATTACAATAATGAAAGTTTTGATGAAAATTTATTATTTTTATGTCAACCAGGAGATGGAAAACTATTTTTATTAAAAATTTTTGAATTTACATTCAATATTTTTACATTGGATAATTTCGAACTGAATGGTAAGACAAAAAGAAAATATTTCGAACCATCAGTATATTAAAATTACATCAATTATTCTTTTAACCTCTATTAACATATTTTTATTTCAATCTGTTTAGATTTAAGATTATAATTGCTTCTTAATTTGAAAGAAACTCAAAGTTATTTTTTGAAAGTAATCTATGTCTTTAACTTTATTTTAAAATTACTGAACATTTAAATCAATTTTTTGGAATTTTGAAAATTGAGAATTCTTTAAAAACATATTTTGTTTTTCTGTTCTCTATTTTATGGATAAAATAAAAGCTGATTTATTTGACTTTAAAATGTGTGAATATATTTAAAGGCACAATGTTGATCGAAAATACTTCTATTCAACACATATTTTATATTAAATGGAATGAACTTTTAAATATACTCTAAACAGAAATTTTTAGAAATCGTTCAAATTATGATTTAAGAGAATTTTAAGAAATGAAAAAATATGCTAACGAACATCAGACACAGACAATTTTTTATTTATTTTAACACATAAGAAAATAACAAAAATGTACAACCTTGCAATCAAACATAAACTTTTATAAATGTAGATACTAGAAAAATAATATTATAAAGATTAATATTTTGTTTTCTACAAATTTATATATCACTCATCAATACAACCACATTTGAATATTATATGGCGGTTTTTAAACTTTTTAAAGGTTTGCAATTCATAACTTATTGAAAGAAGCCTTAAAAATTTTTACATACTGTTTATTTTGCATTAGTTTAATTCATAAATTGCACTGAATCGGTTCATTTCCATATTTGTTGTTTAATAGAACGTAACAAAAAGAAAACAAAAAATATCGTGCCACTATGAAAAGAAGTTTTATACGAAAAAGTTAATACAAAATTATATAATATTTTTGTCTATAATAAAATTTTGCACTGATCAATTTATTCCTTTATTTTTTTAATTTTAATTTTAGAAGAAAAAATGGAACAATATCTTAATCAGTTAAAATCATTAATATTATATCAATCACAACGACATTGGGCACATATTGAAAATGCAAATGCTACAATTCAAGCTTTACAATCTTTATTAAAAGTCGCTGAAATAGCAAATAGATCTATATTAGTAAGCAATTCATCATTAACAAATGAAAGTCAACGTTCGGTGCAAATTCAAATAAATAATCAACAACAATATTATAAAGATATTAATAAACTGCAATCACCAAATCCAGATGAAGATGATGGTGATGGAACATTTTTAAGTGGACGGATTTCATTTGTTAGCGAAGATATTGATTTCCATTCTTCGAAAGCCAGCTGTAGCAATTTGGAAAGTGAAATAGAATTAAGTGAAAATGATACAGAAGATTATTATTTAACAGCAGATGAGGGCTATGAAGCAGATGCTGAAATCCAAGAAATGTCCGAAACAGAAGAAACTAATGAAAAATTGTGGAGCTCATTTGTACCTATGTCTCGATTTCGGACATTTTATATACATGAAGGCATTTGTAAAATTGTTGTTGAAATTCTCATTGAATTATCTGTGCGATGTATCAAAAATCCAAATTTTTGGGCTAATATTTTAAACCAACTAACTAATAGACTATTTGCAATTAAAGAATCATTAGGAGGACCATTATTTTTAATAAAAGGTTTCACTCCTATTTTTATTTGCAGCGATATAAGACTAAAAGGTATTTTTGTTTTAAGATATTCTTAATATTTTAAATTTGTTTATTAATATGGATTATTTTCCAAGATTTTCAGCAATCCTTATTAGATTTGATAACAGATTTTAATACGCCGGAAGTACTTTCAGCGTATCTGGGGTTATTTTCATATGAAAATCCACCCGTTGACATTTTAATGAGATATATGTCATATGTTTGCTCAAATATTACTATTCAACCTAAAGCTGAATTGTTGTTTCCTATTAAAAGTGGTATGTTTTGAGTTCGTGCTAATAATGTTACTATTAAAATATTTGATTATGATTCTTTCCAGATGGTTCCATTAGTTCAACATGCAATCCTCTTATATTTGAACAAGTTCAAAAAATTCGTAATTATCATGAGTATCACAATTTAAAAACGCCTTTCACCAACGCAGCTTGCATTTTACCTATATCTAATACAAAAATATGGGCATCTGATGGTTTTACCCTGTCGACATGGATACAAATAAAAAAAAATCAAAATATTTTACAGACTTCTTTACAAAATATCGATGAAAATTGGAATAAAAATCAAGTTAATTCAAAAAATATTGAATTTATTTCAAATTCTTAAAAATAATTATTTAATTTTAGTTAACGCATGTTGTATCATTTGGAACAAATCAAATCATGCTTAGTATTTATATTAATTCAAATTACAATTTATTGTTTGAAACAAGCAAACCAAATGTTGAATTAAATGCAGATTCAAATTCAGAAGAAGTTGTTGAAACCAAGCAATTCAAAAACGATTTTATTTTAAGAAGAAAGAGACTGAAGAAAAATGTGGTAGAGACTGCAGTTAAAGAGCCGCAATCAGCTCAAGCTTTGAGCGAATTAAGTTCAGCAAAACCATCATGTTCGTCACCTAACAACAAAGAAAATTACCCTCCGAAAATATTACAAAATCAAAATTTATTGCAAAATGAGAAATCAGGCATAGTTAATGCTTTCAAAAGCACTAAAATGGCAATTTTAAACAGTTTCAATCAATTTTCTATTTTCAATTCTCAATCTGACCCGGATGACCCGTTTGAAAGTACTTCAATAGAATTAAAATATTTTAAATTAGCTGCACAAAAATGGACACATCTATGCTTCTCGGTAGACATCAAATCAAATCTTTTCAACATAACAGTTATTATTGATGGTTCCGAGCAGTATTTAATAAGTCTTCCTTGTATTAATTTGCAAAATGCTCTTAAAAATGATACACTTCATATAATTTGTATCGGCCAAAGTATTTTTAATTTTAGAAGTGATGCACAGTTCAATCGTAATGAGAATGAGTTTAAATTAGACGAAATGTCTTTAGAATACAGTTTATCCAATATTTTGATATTTGACAAAGCGTTTGGTAGTAAAACTTTAATTTCTAATTTAACTGCTTTGGGACCTGATGCTTTAAACTTAACAAGATGCCAAATTGGAAATACTATACCGAATTATGGTCTTTTAAACTTTAATAAAACATATAAGTTTAACTATGAAAATTTTAAAGAATCAATCAAAACCTTAAAAAGTAATTTGGTGGCACTATATTCGGTTTACGAGCCAAAACAATTTCATGAATTTGTGAAACCAGAGAAAACAGATTCCACGAATTATGTTGTTAGTTGCAATTTGGGTGCGATATATTTTGGAGCACAGTTTTCAGTTCATCGAATAAAATCCATTCAAACAGCTACTTTACTCTCAGGAGGATTAGCAACTTTATTATTTCTTTTTGCAAGGGTAAGTTGTCGTTCATTAAAAGAAAAATTATTTACATAAAATTTATTTATTTTAGGTTGTTGAATTATCATTAGATTCTGATATTCAAGCTATGGCATTAGATTTAGTTTTAAAAGTTTCATTGCACGATTCTAAATTGTATACTGAGTTTGTTAAAAAAGATTATCTTTCTTTAATAAGTTACGTTATAAAAACCGATAAATGCTTAAAGGATATAAATTTACTAAGGAGTTTTATAAATAATTCTTGTACTGAGGTAGTGATTACAAAACGAAATGATGTTATACAAATTAATGAAACAACTACAGCAACGATAATATATCCTCATATAATGGTTAGTGTTCTTCAAAAATATTGTGATTGGTATCGGTCTGGTGCGAAAGAATCAAAAGTTCTTGATACTCTTTTGAAAACGATACAATGTTTATTACGTGAAAAACATCCACATCAACAATTCAACATGCAGCAATTGAATAGCGCGGGACTTATAAAAGAACTACTAAATTTAGTTAAAATATATATTATCGAAGCAACAAATCCAATTTTTATTTCAACAGATGCAGCCGAATCAATTACCAATTTATTACGGATATTTGCTGGTTCTCCACCGTTACCGTCTCTTTTAGATGAAATAACAAAGCTTCTTTTATTGCTTCAGAAACCTTCGGATTGTTTCATTACCCATGACCGCTCAAAGTTTTATTTTTTGGTTAGTCCAGATCCTCCAATAAAGCATAAAAAAATAAGTTTGCCATTACCATCACGCCAGTTAAGAGCTTTGATGCGAGAACGTAAGAAATCGTCGCCTTTAACTTCTACATCATCTCAAAGACAAATATCACCATATGGTAACAAATCATCAGAATCTCATGATCATCAAACCTCCGATAGGGAAAGGTCTCGTATAACTTTCAGCCGATTAAACGTTGAGAGACAAACAACAAACTTAGTAAATATTTTGAATAATTTTGATACTTTAGAAGTTATTGCAGATTGCTCTCGATTAAGCAAATCAACTCTTGAATATTTCAAGACAAAAGGAAAAGATGAAAAATTCCGACAAAATTTGCATAACATAAATACTTTACTGAAAAATTCGCCAAAGTCACGTCATACAAACACTCCTAATAGAGTTTTTAAAACTCGGAAAACATTTAAGACAAGTACATCAACAAATAAAGTATTATTAAACAACAGTGATAGTGACAAAACTTCTGAAGCTACTATGAGTAACAAGAAACCTGGAAAAAAACGCATTAGAAAAAAATCTTACTTGTCAATACAATTAGATATTATGGCCTCCAAAGATTATGATGTTATACAATCAGATGAAATCTCAACAAGTGAAAGTCAATCTTCTGAATCATCACCAAGTAGAAAGAAGAAATTTCGACACCACAAAAGAAACGAGTTTTATAATCAAGACGGCATCATCAAATTACAGGAGCTACTTCATTTGCTTTTAAGAGATTTTATATTAATATTACCTGATAGTTCTATAGAAGAAGTTTTAACGCATTATGTGAAAATCGAAATATTATTGGTTTTAGCTAATCATCAAAGTACTATGGTGAGGTGTGCCGTTATTCGATTACTAACAGCTTTATGCGAAAGAATGCCAATTAGCGAATTGCAAGTTATGAACAAAAAGTTTTATTGGACTCACTGCGCAAATCAATTAGCTATACACAAAGGTGATAAGAGCTTATGTGAAGCATCACTACAATGGTTAACTGGAACATTTTATAGCTTAGAGGAATTTTGCATGCATGAGGATATAAAAATTTACTCCAAATTTGCAATCCGGTCATATTTAGCTGTATTAATGCAATCGATAGGAACATGTGATGATGTTGCAAAATGTTTCTTTATATTAAAAAACATTTTCGAAAAAGTAATTTAACAATATACATATGTATTTTAAAAATTTTTAAATTAAATATTTGTTTTGTAGGATACAATAAACGAATCTCTCCTTATTGAAAATGGCTTACTTCAAGTTTGCGTAAAAAGTTTGCACAAAATATTTTTAACTTTAAAACAAACGAATTTGAAACTCGAAGATAGTATTGTATCTCTCTTAATTTCGATAGCTGTCAAATCAATAAAATCTTCGAGTCATATACAAGTAAGTTACAATCTTTAAATAAATGCGCATAAAATAAGAAAAATATTTAAATAAATTCTTTTAATTAGATACTATGGGAAATAATGAATCTACTGTCATTTTATCAGGAAAATGATATAATTAATGTAGTTCGAGGATTTCGCAATGTTCAAGCAAACATTTTGTTTAATTTATTTAGTATTTTTGTCTTTAACAATAGTCCAAAAAACAAAAGCAAACGTAAGTTGAAGAACAAGTAATATTTTATGTAACAATAAATTATTTTTCTAATTTTGCGAAATAATTACTTTCAGGTAATCTAACTATAGCTGACTCAACATTGTCAATAACAGAAACTCGAACACGTTTTGATTTATTGGTTGATAGATCTTCACAGTTTTTTACCGCGTCAGATTCTTCGCTTAAATGTACTGATGCTGAAATAAAACTTTTTAAACAATTAGTAAATTTTTGTAACGCTGGGTATACAAGATATAGCAATTTTATTTCTTGGGGATTGTTACCATCACGTCCTATTTATTTACGTCTATTTCTAGTCAACAATTTATGGAAATTTTATTCGCGTGAAACGTATTCTTCAATTTTATGCGATACAAATATGCTCAATAGTCTGCTTTGGTTGCTTTTACATGAAGAAAAACGCAATGAAGCCGACCATCAAAAAATTGTGTATCAATTTGAAAATTTAGAAAAGCTATGTTCTCGTTTAGGAGTCTCAAAAAATGATTTTTGCGATGTAGAAACTGAACTAGATAAAATTGAAATAAATCGAGAAAATTTAGTAATGAAACAAAAGCCGTCAATTGAAAAAGTTGTTTATAAATACGAGTCAATAATACAAAATTGTATTGACTCTTCTATGATCATAACTAGGATTGTTGCCGAACTGCAGGTGAGTAATAGATTTGAAATGAACTGACTAGTATTGATTCTGATTTTTTTTTTAAGAATTCTGAAAGAAAATCTCTAATGGGTCAAATGAAAGAGCGCGATGAAAGATATTCTTTTCAAGAATGGATAGCAATAGTACAAAGAATGACACATGAAGGCGCTCCTTGGTTTAATGAAAGTCACTATTCAAAGTAAAAATAAATCATTATTTCAAAATAATTATAATTTTAAACAATAATTTTGTTATAGGTCATGGGAATTGGATGATACTGAAGGGCCAGCACGTATAAGAATGCGTTTGCGTCGTTGTGAATTAGATTTAGATCGTCGTTTTATAATGGATGAATATTATCAACCAGTTACGTCAAAGATGCATCCATTAGATTATTTAATAACAGCTGGTGATCAACAATTAAATATTTCATTGAACTCACAAGTGTTGTACAATTTTCAAAGCAAATATCTGCCTGTAGACGGTGAAATAGATGGTGAAATTGTAATAACTGATACAAAAATTTATTTTTTGGCTACATATCATTGTAAATTGTTTTATGTTAATTTCGAAATAAATAAAATTTGTGAAATATGGACGCGAAGATATCGACATGAAGAATGCGGTCTGGAATTTTATTTGGAAACAAATCGATCGCTGTTTTTTACTATAAAAAACAAGGATGATTGGAAAATAATAAAAGATATTTTTGCCGACAAAATCGTTCAAAACCCAGATCAAAGTAAAATATCTGCGTTAACCCAACAGTGGAGAGAGGGCTTACTTACCAATTGGGAATATTTAATGACATTAAACGATTTTTCTGGACGCACCTACAACGATCTAATGCAATATCCAATTTTCCCGTGGATTTTATCAAATTATTCTGGCGAAATATTAGATCTAACTGATAAAAAGAACTTTAGAAAATTTGAAAAACCAATTGCTATACAGTATGAGGCTAACGAGGAGCATTATATTCGAAATTTCAATGTAAGTATATATGCCTTATTGAATTCTGAAAACATAATATCAATGCAAATTTTTCATGCTAGTATATCAATAATACAATAACAAATATTGGAACGATTCAATTAAAGCCTTATCACTATAGTTCACTTTATTCAAATTCTGGAACAGTACTGCACTTTTTGGTCCGGGTTCCCCCCTTTACCAATTACTTTTTACGTTACCAAGGTAAAATACTTACATATTTTTCCTAATTAAAAATGCTCATATTTTTTCTTGATGATTTTTCTATTACACTTTAGATAATAACTTTGATTTAGCTGACCGCACTTTCCATTCAATTAATACAACATGGAATTTAGCTTCAAGAGATAGTCCGACGGATGTCAAAGAATTAATACCCGAATTTTTTTGTTTACCTGAAATGTTTGAAAATTTTGAAAAATTTAATTTTGGTAATAAACAGTCTGGTGAACTGGTTAATAATGTTCAATTACCAATTTGGTGCTCAAACAACCCGAGGACATTTATTTTAATACACCGACAAGCCTTGGAATCAGAAATAGTGCGCAATAATTTACACAATTGGATTGATTTAATTTTTGGATATAAGCAAACTGGTCAAGCTGCTATTGATGCTATTAACGTTTTTCATCCAGCTGTAAGAACCAAATATTTCTCAACAATAATTATCTTAAATCTAATTGAAATTATTTTTAGACATATCCAGAAGTTTTAACACCAAATATAATAGACCCCATCGAACGTGATGCGGTCGAAACCATGATAAAGACATATGGTCAAATACCTAAGCAATTAATAAAGACACCACACCCGGCTTCTAAAGTCGTGAATACTTTCAGTAATTCTTTAGAGAGAATTGAACCCAAGATGGCAGTTAAAGGATTACGTTGGGGTGCTTTTACAGGATCACCGCAATGTTCAAAGCCAGAGTTGAATAATATATATGAATTAGGGGGTGTGTCAAATTTAATCGCGTTCCCAAATACAAATGTTGTTTATGGGCTTCCTGATAAATGCTGTGTAATGCAAGGTCCAGTATATGACGTTTTCAATTTGATATCATGGAATCATGACGACCGCCTTATACGTATGCAATCTTTAAGTGAATTTTCGCATTCTTCAAAACCTTTAATATACAATAGCTCATTTGATGAAATCACAACATGTGGAAGCAATATTAATTCTAATACCTTATGGTTTGGTCATAAATCCGGAAAAATAAGTATTTATCAATGTACAAGTTTCAGTGAAATGAATAGAACGTTTAGAAATCGTCAATCAGTTCTCAGTGGTAACAAACTGTCATACAATTCGGCATTCAGAAAATTTTCAATGAAAAGCAATTTTAAATATGAAGATTATGAAAAAAATTTGACGGATATCGGCGATAATATAGGCAATGATAATTTAGAATCTGCAGATCAGATAACATGGACTGGCCCAATTATTTTAATTCGTCACACAGATGAAGTGAATTGCATTTCATTGTCTCCTGAATTTAAAATTTCAGTATCTGCAGCAAGAGATGGTTTAGCAGTTATTTGGGATCTAAATAAGTAAATTTTTAAAACTGTTTTCATAAACACCAAACAATAAAATGATTTTATATTTTTTTTAATTAAAGCTTTAATTACATAAGGACAATCGAGCGGCCAGCTGAAATTCATCATTCGCCAATTTCATTAATAACTATTAGCCCCACTTTAGGTGATATTGTTACTATTCACTCAATTGAAAAACCTTCGCATCAAATAAATTTAAAAATGGATAATTTAGTGGAGAATGATAATGATTGCTTTGAAGCTACTGAAGAAAGTATCGACGGATTTGTAAATGTTTCAACAAACCCGAATGGAAAATCTATTTTGCGTTTACATACTGTTAATGCCAAATACGTAAATCATATAGTACACGAAGAAAAAATTATATGCGTATGTTATTCATATGTTAAAGAAGGCATTGGTATTAATGTTATAGCTACTGGCATTGAAGGCAATATAATTCGATTATGGTCCAGTTGGGATTTATCATTGGTCAATCAAATCAATACATCTAGATCTGAAATTATAAGGTATCGTTAGCAAAATTTTGCAACATTTTTCTTTAACCTTCATGTTTAACCTAAATATATAAAAACTTTCAGTGTAACATATTCAACTAATCAACATTTAATTGTGTTAACAAAAGATGGTTACTTGCAAGTATGGGAATCAAAGGGACTTTGTGGTAGTCCTCCGAAATTTCCTCAAATAAACTTTAATAATAAGTAGCTGAGAACAAAAACAAAATTTGAAAATTATATTTTGCTTTTATTCTAACACTAAGTTGAGTTTTGAACTTGGTATTTATTTAAATTGACATTCTGTATGTATTATTTATTGAACATTTTAAAATTTATTATATATTAAGATTTAAAATTTAAGTTTGAATTATGTGATCAATTGGTTATTATATAATACATGTGTAATTAAATATGTATATGTACTTAGAATATGGTAGTTAGTAAGCATATTTATAATTGTACCTACTTTCTAACATTTTTGATTTCTTTAAAAGTAACAGTTTTATAAAGCCAATAAAAATGATTTTTTTAAACATTAAATAAAAATTTTGTGCTCGAATAAAAATAATAATTTTTTAAATAACTTGCATTTGATATGTAACCCCAAAATTATTTTTTAAGTCAAATGTTTTCCTAACATTCATGAGCCTAGAATGTATACCATTCAATAATAATATAATCTCTTAACATGAACTCTTAAATTTGTACTCAAATAAAACAATGTTAATGAGGTTCTTCGTAAGAGACGTTCGTCAAAGATTCTACAACAAAAAACAAAATTTAGAAGGCAAAAAATTAATATATGTACAATGTGTAATCAATATGTACAAAATGTAATCAATAAAAATATTTTATTTTATTTCAAATAAACTTTTAAAATTTTCAATGGCATTTCTAGCTGGCTTAAAATTAGGAGCTGTTAAACTTGCGTTATTTTCTATTAAGCAACCTAATATTTTCGAAACATCTGCAATTGGACCACCAACTATATAAGGGAATTTATAACGTTTTCCTTCTTTAATATTAAAAAGTAATCTTTTTGATAAATAATCACTGTAATTGCTAATATGACCAACTTCAATATAATCATTAAAATATGGTGAAAACATTTGAATTGATGCCTTCAAGGATTCCGAAGGTAAAATAGAACTAGCTTTTTCATAAATAATTCGAAAATGTATTCCAAATTTTTTATAAATATCTACTGCTAAGCTCAATAGAATTTCCATTTCATCATCAGCTGATTTTCCATTTTGTGTTGCGATGAATACCTGAACAGCATTAGATTGTAAAGCTGTAAAAAGTCCTTTATCTTGACTATTTTCTAAATTTTCATTATAATATTGTCTGCCTAATGAAACTAGTTTTAGGGGTAGAGCTGATGGAAAAATCGATAACTTTGTTATAAAACCTAAAAAACTTGTAAATGATCCACCTCCATTCAAATGCAAAGTATTAAACTTTGCTGTGTTAAGTTCATCTTGCTCTTTTATTTCTTCGTATTGTTCTATATTATCGGAATACACAGCTTCTAATAATATTCTCCTTGAGAAATCCGGATTTGCCGTTTGAGTAAAACCATTTTGCACTATGAAATTTGTACAATTTAAAGAAAACTCTAAATCAAAAATAGCTGCTTCTCTTAATAAATAGTAACAAGATGAGTTCTTATAGTCTATTAACTTTTTTTCATCTAGGTGAAATTTAGCATTTTTCATTAATGATTCATCTGGTAAATTATGTCTATATAAAATTTTTACATATTCCAAAGGACATTTTTCATGTAAATAATTCGGAATTTTTAAATAATCTTTTATGAAATCCTCTTCAATTGAATATAGAATTTCCTTTAAATTTTTTATTTGGTTTCTAATTTTTCTTCCTTCTTCTTTTAAATTTTCAAGGTCTGATGCAACACTAGGCTAAAATAAAATTAAAAGTGAATAAATAAATCGAAAATAAAGTAGGTACTACAGTTTCTTGAAGATGCAATTTTTTGAAAATTATATTGTTCAATATTTGGATACTCACGTTTCCGCTTGTTAAACTTTTCACATCTTTCACATTGTTCTCTTTCATATTTTCCAGTTCACGTTTCTGCTTTAAAATTGTCATATACCTTTCATGTTTTCTTTGAATTGCTTCAAAATTGATATTTAATTTTCTTTGCTTTATATTTTCCTTTACAATCTCAGCATGACTAAATGTTTCGGAAAAATCCATATAAGGTTGCAAAACAGCATAATTCTCTTTAGCTTTATCTCCTGCTATATAAAGAGCTGATATAAATCTCCTATTTTTTATTAAATTAATTGCTTTATTCAAAAAGAGTGAATTAAACTTAAAACAATTCATTTTTTAATTAAGAATAAAGTTCTTTTTGTTTGGCATTAAAATAAGTTAGTAATATGGCCCTTAAATGTAAACACTAATATTTAGTAATTTAGTAAAATGTCAAAAAGTCTAAAAACAACCTTTTTTGACAGTAAGTGTATTCAGCGACTTCAAATGATGAAATTGAAGTTTTTTCCACACTATTTTTTATTAACCCTTTAGTGCATCATATGCTTGCAAATTTTACGGTTTTTTTTTAATTTATGACACCGTTTTGCTCTTAGACGACGAGCTCTACAAATCTGAAACATCTTTTAGGCATTAAAATTAATTTCTTTTAGGCGAAAAATTAATTTTTTTTAAAAAAATAAAAGTTTTTTCCAATTATATTCCGTTTCCAGTTATCGCCCCTAAAATTTGTAAAATTTGAATTTTCAATGCCTTGTATTTCTGAAACTATAAGGCTCTCCCAAATTTCTAGGAATGCAAAAACCTAACCGTTAATGCCATGTCATAAACTATAATCACTTATCTCAACTCTCTTACTTAACCGTCAAATTCAACCATTATGTTAACGTTAATTAATTAACTTTAATTTTTTTTCCACCCTAAATGTATGCTACATACGAAATAAGCTGGTATATTAATGAAAATAATTAAAATATGTTTCTATGTAGTAGTAAACTGCTTTTTAGAAAAAGGAAATTTTACTTGTTTAAGGGGAAAATGCTACTTTGCAAACTAATTGGTTTGATACGAATTCAACAGCACTTCATATATTCTTTAATAATAAATATTACTTAATTATATTAATAAATAATTATTATTTTAATTGTTAATTTTTATTTAATTGATATTTAATTCTATCAATGACAAATTCTTAAAAAGTAAGAAGGAAAATTGTTGAAAATCAAATTGGAGCATCTGTCAAGAAAAACGAAATACCGTTATTTTTAACAATATTAATTTAAACTGCTTCATCACATATTGTTATGAATTTTTTGTTTTATGTTTTTTGTAGTTCTGCGATTCTACTTTGGTTTCATTTTGATTAAAATAATTTAATATATACAATATACATACGTTACTTACCAATTTAATTTTTTTATTTTAAAATATTGTTTATATTGTTATTTTTCAAATTTATTTTCGAATAGTATTACATAATTATCATCCCATATTATTTGTCTTTAATAAGTCAATTATTAATTAACTGAGTTCCGAACTACCACTCCTACGATTCCAATGCAAGTTTTATAATTTATGCTACATTTATATAAATTTTGACCAATTTTTTCATATCCATACATACAAATGTTTATATAAATTTCAACCTTAATAATTAAACGATTAACAACCTTATAAACTAATAATGCAAAGCTTTGAATTTGGTTAATTTTTCGTCGAATATATTATGGAAACTAAAAAGTTTTATTTTAGTTAAGAATTAAAATTAGGGAATTAGTGAAGAATTAGAACGTAAATTGATCCCCTTTTAAAAGAAATAAATTCAAATCATCTGAAGAAGGAAGGAAAATTCATAACGAAAGTAATTTTGTAAGTGTCCTTCATTAGGGATCTCACTTTCTTATTTGCTGTATGAAAATCATTTTATTGTAAAAAGTAATTAAAAAAAGAGAACTTTTTTCGTATATTGCACAATTTGCAAGATTTAATCACAATTCAGTCACTTAATTTTGAAAAGTGGCAAGTTTAGAGGATATTGTAAAATTTAGAATGAGTTACATAAAAAAATTTGTGAAAAAATTAGAAAATTCACCCAAACGAATGAATAATCTTATTGGAAAAATGTGTACATGAACACGTTACCCAGGTATCTATTTATGTAGTTAAAACAATTGAGATTTCAATTCAAAAGTGTCTAAAAACGACTGATACATTGAAATACAAAACGAGACAAAATTTAAACATAATTTAAAGTTTTGTATGTATGTACGCATAATGAAATACGAAAAAAAAAACGATTTTTGAAAGGAAGCGAATCATCTACGTAACTGAAAAATTGGGGTAAGTAGAGAATGAGGCAATGAATAAAGTTCTGGTTTTGTTTTTATTATTAAAAATTTCAAACTATGTACCCGATTCCCTTGTATAGAAATTTCAAGATTCTAAAATTTTAAAATGGAAAAATAGAATTATTAATATCCCACGGTTCTTTGAACCAATAGAAACTGCTAGTTTTTTACTAAAGAGATTAAAAGCAAACGACAAAAAAAAACTGTGTTTATTTTTTGTATTACGTCCTTTTTAGCTACGATTCCGAAATATTATAAAGAACAAACGCTTGGAAAATCTAAGAAAACTTAAACGCCATTTTCGTATTCATATTGCTATGAGAACTTAAGTAGCATGTACAAGTAAATAAATCATATATGAAACAAAATGTGTGTGTGCACGAATAATAACTGCTACAAAAAAATATTTAACATTCTCCTAGTGCTACAGTAGAAAACAAAGAGAAAATAAACAAAAAAAAAACAAATTAAAAATTAAATTTGCGGTTCCGAAATTCGGATACTACTATATTGTATTTCAAAAACATAAGTTTTCAGAAGAGCAAAAACGCTTCTCATAATAAAGATATCGTAATGAAATAAGACAAAATATTTTAAATAATTTTCTTATAGATTCTGTTAAAAATTTAATTACTTTATTTTAATTAAACTATTTAAAATTAGAATTTTCTCTTCACAATTGCCAAAAAAAGAAATGGCAATTTATACTGTAAGTTGAGAGGCAACCGTGAAACAATTAACATTGTATTTTTACCTACAATATAAAATCTTTCACAATATTGTAAGAGTTTATGTCGATTTGCAACATTTATTCTAAAATATTATAGTATACTTATTATTGTAGGAATAAACCAATACTAGAAAATTTTATAAAAAGCAATGTTTTCAAATATAAGAAGAGTTAGAACAAATGCATTTTTATGAAAATATTGTAATTCTTTCAAAAACCTTGTTTTTTTAATATTATTGCAATTTTACGATAACTAAAGTTTTACGATATTTTTGTAATGTAAATCACTTTAAAATAATATTGCAGAACTAAGTTCTGCAAATACAATGGTATTGTATTGATAGTCCTTCGAAAAGCTTATAATAAGAGTTTTTTTTTTATATTTGTAGAATTTCTATTACAGCTAGGTATACAAAAATTTAAAGTTACATGCGCATGGCTCTATAACATTAACTAACAGAAGCAAGAAAAACTTTTATTGTAATTCTACTTAGAATAATTCCATTTAGAGCTGTTGAAATACAAACCAATATATTTGTAAAAATTATGAAGAAAATTAAATATCTACATTATGAAAATATTTTGATTTTTTATCTATTAAAATAAAAAGTAAAACTGATAGGGTGTAATAAAATAAGCGAAAAATAAAAACTTAAAATAATAGAACCATAAAATTATACCTAGTAAAAATTAAAATAAAAATGACAAAAACAAATTTTAACATTATAATAAATTTTTAATTACACGAGTAACGTTAAGTCTTAAAATTTATAATGGATTTACTTAAAATTTAATACATATTTTAATTTTGTTTTTAAGTATGTTATGTAAAAAAAATTATATTTAATTAAAAAAAAAATTAAAAAAATATATTTAAAAAATTTTTAAAATTCTCTAAAATCATTATTTTTTTTCTTTTTTTTTTGTTTATTTGAAATTAAAAATTTTTATGGACTTAATTAAAATTGTATACTAAAAAGTATTAAATTCATAATAATTATGTTTTATTATGTATATATATATATATATATATTTATGTATATTTAAAAGCTACTGTCATCAAGAACATACTTTCTTTTAAGTAATTAAGATGTCCTCATAAAAACGGAGGATTATTTTAATGTTGTTTTAAGTATGAATTGTACGACTAAAATTATCTCAAAAGTTTCAAACTTATTCAAAATTTTATGATAAAAATTATTTATAATACAATAAATGATACGGCGGATGTTCAAAATAATGAATGATATACTATCACAAAAAAAAAAATTGCTTCCCGAAATTTTACATTATTTTTTTAATTTTTTCTGTTTTGTCATATCTCATTAAATAATCATCACATTTTATTAAGTTTAATATTTTGTGTAATATTTAATTGTTTTACTATTATAGAACAAATTGAAACAACTGCTAGCTATACCACTTATACTTGGACAAAAAAAAAAAAAATAAAATAAAAATAAAATCCAAATTAGCTGCATAATACTGTGCACGTTCTATATCCTTAAAATTATAAATTCATTAAATAAAACATGCATCAAAGACTCAAATAATATAAAAAGTTGATTTTTAATAAAATTAATTCCGAATAGCTTTACTCATTTGGACCTTCAAATTTCTCGATTTTGAAAATTTTTGCCTTCTTTGAATGAAATTTTTGAATAGCTAAAAATAAATAAAATTTGAAATTATTTATTTGAAAATACGTTTAATTACCTATATAGATTTTTTTTTGCTTAAAAACTAATTATTTCTTAGTACAAAAAAAAATTCTTTGTAACATCAACTTTTTTAAATATATACAATCAGTTTTTTTTGTTTTTCTCTAATATGGAGAATGCTACTGCGTTGGTGGCTGTCCATGATTTGATGGCAAACTTGAAGATTGACCTGGCATTGGCGGAAATGCATTTTGTGCTAATAACATATGTTGAGGAATGTTTCCACTATCTTCGGCTTTTTCTTCTTCACGTCTTTTAAGACATGCAGCTTTTGGATTTAAATTTCTTTCCCTAACTTGTTGTTCTAAAGACATGATTACTTCAACAGCCAAATTTAAAATACCCAGTTTTGTTTGTGGTTTATCAGATTTAAGATGCGCACTGCACATTCTACCAAGCTCCTTAAGAGCTTCATTAATGTCACGAATTCTAATTCGTTCTCTAGCATTATTTGCTTGTCTTCTCTCTTTTTCTCTCTGAGCTTTTAAAGTTGGATCATCATCCTCTTCATCGGCACTTGAGCAACTACGAGAATTTTTATATCTTCTCATTCGCTTTGCTGGTTTACTCATCCCATCTAATGAACTGCTACTAGCTTTTAATTCAGTAGTATCAGTATTATCTTTACGTTTTTTAGGCATGGTTGTAGCTGTAGGTGCAGTGACTGGAGTTGTGCCCGCAATATTTTTTTCAATTTTGATTGACGTGGGAGTATTACTTGGACCTGGTTGATCTTGAAGTATTGAATGATTCATCTGATTTGATACTAAAAATGGTGATGTTTCTAAGTTATTCATAGTTGTATTTAATTCACAATGATTTCGTAAAACATTTAAAGCATCATCTAATCTTTCTTCCATTCGTGTTGTCGTTGAACCGTCAGTTTGCCCTCTTAAAAATCCAATAGCATCTGTTAGCGGTTGCAAGTCTGGAGGATTCGTTAATTGCAGGCCTCTATCATTTAATGTATTTGAGTATGCGGAAGACAGCGGTACAGTTGTTGTAGAATTTGGCAATATATTCATATCAGGTGATAAATGTGAAGTCCAATGATTATTAGAACCACTCATTTGGCTAGTATGCGATAGTATGTGATGGGAATTTGGTTGTGATTGATTTGTCAATGGCGGTGGTGAATTAATTGGAGTTGATGGATTTGAGCTAAAGCTACTAATACATTGTTCTGGTGAAGTATATATGGCTTGCAATGCTTTGCCGACTAAAGCTTCGTTTGGCATACCTGGACTATGCTGAATTGATGTTGAGCTCAAAGGTGTATTGTACATTGTTGGTGAATGAACATTTTGTGATAAACTTGAAACTGAGGGTGCACTTTCTCTAAATGTACTCATTGGTGGCAATGTTTGTGTTGTGTTGGGATATGAACTGCCATCTTTGTTATTAATCATACCTGACTGAATATTAAAGGGATCACTTGCAGTTGAAAGAGCGGTAGGATGTCCTGCAGGGTTATGATACACTTGATTAGAATAAGATGCCTGGGCTGGTGTATACCATGATCCATTGTTTGTATCGTAATACACATCGGACTGTTGCATAGGGCCATTTGTTTTCACTCCTGGGTACCTACTACCATCGGTTGTATTGTCGATTGGATACTCTTCTGGCGGGTATATTTCATTTTCTAGTACTCCACAAGGGGACTGGTAACCATTTTTTTCGCTTACGCTTTGTTTATTTGCAATTTTATTAAAGCAATTTTGAAAAACTTCATATAAACGCATAGGTTCATCATCACTTGTCGCCATTTTGATTTCGACTTTCAACAAAAATTTGACAATTGGACAGAAAAGTCAAGCGCCTTTATTCGATTCTCGAACATATTTTCTTTTGTTTATTCGAGATATTTACAATACCGCCTTCTGCGGGAAATGTTAGCAACATTTTGCTTTTGTTACTTATTTCTATAAAAACAATAGTACATTATATTTGCGCTCCATTTACGTATTCAAATTATTGCATTCATGTACTAGAACGGAGATGTTTATAAATGGAAGTTTTTTTATTGTTCAAAATGTTAATTTAACAAAAAAGGGACATTTTAAATATTGCAATTAAATTTTAAAACAACTTCGAATACACGGATCGCGTATCAATCTATTCTATATTTCTATCGATTCATTCTATAATAGTATTGACGTGACGAAAATTATTGTTAATTGACGTGATGAAAATTATATTTTATACCTTGCCAATTTTGACAAGCCAAAATATTTAACAGACGTTGTTTACCGAAAACTCCAAAACGGAATTATTATAGTACTACAGGATATTCGAATCTATAATTTGGTAATTTTGGAATTAAAAAACCATTTTACAGCATGTGGGCATACTTTAAAAGTAAACAAAATTTTCAAATGTTGTAAATAAAAAGTGCAGCAATTTAAATAATTCACAGTAAATATTTCAAATACAGTGTTTGTTTTTATTTCAAAATCATATTCGAAGTCGAACATCATTTTAAAATTACAATCAAAATTAACATCACCTTAAACCCAGTTAACTTAGTAAAAAAAGTTGTAATTTTGGTTGAACATAAATCGAATATATTGTCAATATGTCATATCAATATAAATTTTTGATTTTCGCATTGAAAAAATGCGAAATGTCAATTATACAGGGTGGTTATACAGATGATAAATAAATTCTAAAAAGCAAAACATTTTTTGTTATTTTCAATTGCCCTTGTTATCTTCATTGTTCGCAATAAAGAGCCCCAAAATGGATTGGGATGAAAGATCTCAACGAATTGCAGCAAATACAAGAAATATATTAGACCGCACGACGGCCTCTATTGCTCGGTAATTTTGTCTTTTAAATTTAAGGATAAATAATAAAATATACTTACATTTTAGTTCACAGCAAATTGCCATTGATGCTGAGCAAGTTGGCACTGAAGTAACAATAATCGTTTTAATATCTTTTGCCAGCTTGTTATTCTAAAATTTATATTTTTCAGGTGCTATCTGAGTTAGACGATCAGAGAGAGTCACTATTACGTAGTCAACAACGTTTACAAGATGCTAACGATCATTTATCAAATTCAGCTCGTATGATAAATTCATTAAAGAGAAATGTTTTGTACAACAAATACTTACTAATTTTAATAATTTTACTTGAGGTTTTAATACTTATCGGTTTAACAATTATAAAATTTATATAAAAAGATTAATAATTTTTAAGTAGGTACGTACCAACCTACATATATGAAGGATTAAATAAGTATTGTATACAAATAATTTTCGAAATTAAAAGGTTGCGACAATAAATGTTTGTAAATTGTATATTTCTGAATAGAAAATTATTAACATTTTTATAGTCTAATAGCAATAAGTTAATAAAAAATTGTAAGAATATTCTCTTATTCATGTTAAAAGCAAAATCTTCAAGCTTTTATTTTAGGATTTATTTAATTGCAGAAGATTTAAAATTCTGCAACGCGATTGAGGGAATATAAATTAATACAAAAAAATGTAATACATATTTTTTATTTTACTTGCATTTTTGGAAAATATTTAATACAGTGTTTACATTGAATGTGTGTACGAACGTTACATTACATTTTGTTATATCAGGTATAGAATGTTACATGTAATTAAATTTTGGTTTATTTTGATTACTTATTTCATTATTTTAAGATACATTACTTTTATTATACTCATATAATTCTGTTGTAAAGTACGAAATAAACAACTTCTATTAAATTATATTATTTTTATATTATGATTTTTATGTTTATTTATATATATTGTTTTGGTTCTCTTTAGTTTAAAAATTAAAATTTCCCTTGAGTTTTTTAATCTATATATTAGTGCTTCAAATAACATTAAAAAAATATAAACATTAACAAGTGAGGAAAATGGGCATTTAAGAATATTTTAAAAATTTAAATATAATATTTATATTAATATATTTTAACTGCTATTTCTTTTGTTACATGGTGTAAGTAATTTATTATAAATTTTTATACATATTATATATGTTACCTATATACATATTTGACATATATTTATATTTGAATAATTTTTTCAATACACACTGACTTCTAGATAACTTAACAAGACTCATTAAAAATTAAATAGATATTAATAACAATGATAACATAAAAACATAATTACTTTAAAAAAACAGAAATTTGTAAATACATATTTTGCTTTTTTAAGTTATTAATTTTTTGCATTTTTCTTTAAACTTTTTGTTATTGATTGTTTAGGTTTCTTTTGGTAAGCTAATAGACCATCCTAAAACACGGCGATCAAAACCGCATGAAAATAAATTACAATTAGAAGACACACACGAATCATCGGCCCACGAAACTGAAGATACCATACGACGGTGTCCCTGTAAAATGAAATAATTTCAATTTAACTTCAGAAAACATTCCCCTATGTATTTAATTTATTTACTTGTCTACTTGTTCTTGGTAATCTAGCTATTCTTTGACCATTTAGATCATAAAGCCTTATTTGTCGATTATCATGTGGTATAGCTATCACACCATTCGCTGAAACTGCTAGACGATTAACAGCAGCATCGGTACGAATTGTTTCTAATGCTGAACGCATATTTCGAAGCTCCCACACTTTAACAGTACGATCATCTGACCCTGAAACTACTTTATCATCACGAGTGAATACTGTAGATGTTACACTCCTAAAAAATTCAAAATGAATTTTAAAAATAAATTTGTTATAAACATAACTTTATATAAATAAAAAAATAAAGCTATTTTTATTAACATTTACCTATTTTTGGGTTAAGTTTATAAAGCAAAGGAAAAGATAAAAAATTAACTTAAACAAAATAATGAAAAATACATACTCAGTATGCCCTTGGAATACCGAAACTGCAGGAATTGCATCTCTAAAATCCCATAATCTAAATGTGGAATCTCTAGAGGCTGTAACAACAAGTCGTTGTGAGCCATGAGCCGAAACATGTGTTAATTCATGGTCATGGCCTGTTAAAGGTTGTAATGGTTCCTTCGTTTCAACATCCCATAAAATAGCGGTTCGATCCCAGCTTCCTGTAATTATTTGATCTGATGTTGACAACCAATCGGCTGCAACAACTACAGATGTGTGTCCACCTGGTCCTGAAAATTCACATAAAGGTGTTCGAAGAACATCCAAACGTTCTCGATCTTCAACTTGTTCATCGCTATCTTCGAGTTCTTCTTCCGAAGAATGGCCTTTTCTGAAAATTTAATTTTATTTTAGATTTTTAACTCACGTTTTATTAAATAAATTACCTTGTTGAAACATCCCAATTGACCGCTGCTTGCCAAATATGTGCAGAGCCATCACCACTTGCAGTAAGCACTAAATCTTTATGTGGATGAAATTTGATAGAATTCACTGAACCACCGTGTCCTTGATATTGTAACAAACAACGGGCACTTTCGATTCCCCAAATGCAAGCTGTATGATCAGCACTCGCTGTTCCAATAATTGGTTGCCCTATTTTAGTAGCAACTTGCCAAACACCGTCCTTATGACCATTAAATTCTCTTACCATAGAACTGACTGCTGATTGTGCTTTAAAACTAGAAACAATTTTACTTGTTTGGGCACGTATTTTATGACTAGCTTTCACTTTTCCTCCTGTTGCGGACAGTTTAGCTTTTAAGCTTTTGCTGGCTATATTACTGACACCATCTGTGTCAGCTACATCTTGATAAGTTGTTGAACGATCAACTGCCGAATTTGTTCCCCCAGTAGATACTGCGCCTGCAGCACCAAGTGATTCAAGTTTCTCCTGAACTAAAAAGCGTATATTTAATAATTTGCACCAAATGCTTAATATATATTTTAAAAAAGGGTTGAAAAACTGAAATATATAATTACGATTGAGATTCTCTATATAAAGCAATTCGAATTCTTTTTCAATTTGCGAAAATAGTATGTGAAGTCTAGCTCTAAAAGGTGGTCCTTCATCGGCAATTAAGTCCTCAGCTAAAGAGCTTAAGCGAGAGCTTCGTTGTTTGGACGGTTTAACTATTGATTTTCCAGAAACACTATTTTCCAGTGGCATATTCGTGAAATTTTTGTTTATTAGATTGAAACTAGTTTTAATAGGCACACTAAACTGTATATATTTTAAGTTGACATAGTATAAGACCCAAAAATTTTATATTAATATTAAACAATGATAAAACGATTTTTTTTAAACAGAAGTTAAATTATTAAAATGTAATTGAAATTGATTTTTAAAATTTTAAAACTTTTACAAAAATATACCAATTTATTTTGAAAACTGCTGTGGTAGTGCAGTAAGCATTTAAGCAAATTACAACTTGATAGCTGTCAAAACTTTTCAAAACTATTTCGATTTGTAAACTTATCAAATGCTAAAAGAATTTAATTGACTCAATTAAGGGCTCGCGCAAATCAATATGAATGGGTATCAGAGAGTTCAAAAAATTAGGTATCAATTCGGATATGGTTGTTCCATTAAGCATGACATTAGTGTTATACATTTTTTAAATAAGGAATTTTTGAGCACAACGGCCAAAAGCTTATTATTCAAAAAGCATATTAATCATCAAAGAGATTGCCGCATATCAATTGATACAGAAAAATGCTGAGAACTTCATTATAAACGCTTGCCCACCATGAGCTAGTTGGTGACTACTTGTAAGGCGAAAACCCATCACATCGTCTAGGGATTGTAAAGATAATTAGAAAAGAAAATTAAATTTCATTATTAAAATTTAAATATAACGAACGTAAGAAGTTTTGTTTTTTTTTTTTGTGAAGATTATTTCGTTATAAAGTTGAAAATACATGGAAAATTTTTTATATCATGTAAATAAGATTGTTCAATAAATTTTGATATTAGGTCCTTTTTTTTTCTATAAGTAAGAATTTTATTTTATGAAAATACATGGCATCACTTATTAACGGTATGTCAAACTTTCTTTACATTGCCTTCTTTTTATTTATTTACGTCGTGACTTGACGTAAATCTTTTAACTATTTATGTATCTATATATTTTTGTAATGTCAAGGTGCTAATAGGAAAATTTAGCAATTTGGTTTTTATATTATTATTCTATTTATTTTATTCAAAACGGCTAAATTAATTTCTATTAGATCGCTCAATGTATTTGAGAATTTTAACCATCAAATAAAAAGAATTATTAATTTTAAAATGGGTGACAAAGACGATATTGCCAAAAGAAAAGGTAAACATTTTATTAGATTAAGTTAATTCAAGAAGGTGTTGTGCTAACAACTCTTGTATAATGGAAACTTTCATTTTCGCAATTCTAATTAATAATTGTAAAATTGTACAATACAAATGTACAGTTGTAAAATTGTACAATTGTAAAAATGTACAATAAAAATGTAAAAATACATATACCTACATGCACTTACAAATGTTAATTAGCTCTCACTATTTTAGGAAATAAGTCGTTGAAAAAAAGTTCCGAAAGTTCTGATGAGGAAGTTGGTGCAAGTGGGAGCTCTTCATTTTCAATAGATTTAATTAGTAAATTTTTTTGTGAGAAACTGAATTTTCATTCGGCGGAAGATTCTGCAAAAAAAGTAAGGTGTTTAGTTATAAACAACGACCATTTGTATACATTGTGCTTGCAAGTTTAAATATATGCTTTACATTTTTTTCAGGTAATTGACGATTTGAGTTTTAAAGGAATTATTAATCACTGGAAAAACGGTGGGGTAAAAAATATTATCACAATGGTTGGTGCTGGCATTTCAACTTGTAAAAATATAAACATTCTTGTCATATATGCTGAAATTTTATTAAAAGAAAATTATTTTAGCTGCAGGGATCCCAGATTTTCGTTCCCCTGGATCTGGTTTATATGACAATTTGGAAAAGTATAATTTACCGTATCCTGAAGCTATATTTGCATTAAGTTACTTTAATGAAAATCCAAAGCCTTTTTTTGTTTTAGCCAAGGAGTTATACCCTGGTACCTTTAAACCAACTCCAGCGCACTATTTTGTTAAATTATTAAGTGATAAAGGTTTACTAATAAGGCACTATACTCAAAATATAGACACTTTGGAAAGAATAGCTGGAATACCAGCAGAAAAATTAGTAGAAGCACACGGAACTTTTTTTACAAATCATTGTTTGAATTGCTACAAGGAATACAGCATGGAATGGGCCAAAGAAAAAATTTTTCAAGACAAAATTCCCCAATGTGAATATTGCAAATGCCTTGTTAAGCCAGATATCGTATTTTTTGGAGAAAATCTTCCAAGTCGATTCTTTGAGCTGCCCGGCGAAGATTTCAAAAAATGTGATCTATTGATTATTATGGGTACTTCGTTAGAAATACAACCCTTTGCTTCTTTAGCTGAAAACGCTAATCCTAATTGCCTTCGCTTGTTAATTAATCGTGATAAAGTTGGAAAATTTGGTGGACGAAATTGGTTTATGAGCGGAGTTAACCTTCGCTACGATGATCCTGAAAATACGAAAGATGCTGCATTTATTGGTGACTGCGACGAGGGAGTTTATGAAATTGCGAAAATTTTAGGCTGGGAAGATGAACTAAGAGAATTAGTAAAAAAAGAACATGATAGAATTGACAAAAACACACAAAAAGAAAAAGAAAAAACTGAAAGTGCTAGTTCTTCAGAAGAAAAACAATTGACAACTGAAACATCGTAAATGGAAAAGAGAATGAAAATGGAAAAACGTTATTTATTAAAATTGTTTTTTGAAAATTTGTTTGTGTATATTGTAATATACAAATTATGTAGAAAATTTAATAAAAAATAAGCTTAACGCATTAATTATTATAAAAAAATATATAGAATAAATTATATATATTCCAAAAATTATATTTATTAACAGTTTACTTTTAATTAAACAAAAATTTTCTATTCTTGAACATCAGATATTCCCTCGCCCGTGATTGTGAATAAAGCTTCAGATTCTGGCAAGCACGGCGAGTCGTAAATCTTGCATATTCGCGTTTCTCCTCTTCCTTTTTTTAAGTATAAACGTGTCGTTGAAGCATGTGCAATAATGTTACCACCAATGGGTTTTTTCGGATCAGCAGCAAATGTTGGCATGCTGTCTACGGACGCCACTACTTGATTGGTTATAAGAACAGCCACGCCAAACTAAAAACCAGCTTTGTATACAAAAAAATAGTAATAAGCAAAATATAAATACCTCATCGGCCAAGCGTAATAAAAGTCTTAAAAATCTAGCTAAATGCATTTGCCGGGGTGCTAATTCAGCCCGCCCACAATAATCCGTTCTATACAACGCAGTTGCACTATCTATTATAAGAAGAGCATACCTAAAAGACTAATCAATTCAAATTATCCTTGTCATTAGATTTTTAATTTACCTCGACTCAATCATCATGGCAGAAGCTAACGTCAGCAAATGAGTTTGGTGATCAGTATTATATGCACGAGCATATGCAACGTTATCCAAAACATCTTCTCCCGATAACTTATAACGATCTGCAACGGCTAATAGTCTTTCGGGCCTAAATGTCCCTTCTGTGTCAATATATAAACATTTGCCTTCGCCACCGTTTTGAGAAATAGGTAACTGGCATGTGACTGCTAAGGTGTGACATAATTGTGTTTTTCCAGTACGAAATTCACCGAATATTTCAGTTATTGATCCGGTTTCCAATCCACCACCTAAAAGTTTATCTAATTCTTTTGAACCTGTTGTTAGAGTTATAATTTCAGAACGTTTTTGATGCAGTGCAGAAGCAGTAGTAAAACCCATAGGAACAAGTTTTGAGGCTTCTAAAATAATTTTATCTGCTTTCGCTTCAGATATCCCTTTTACGACCAATAAACTTTTTTTTGGTGTATATGCTATTGATTCTACAGTATAATAACCAGCCTCTTTAAGTTTTTTTATATCCCCCGATGTTATTCCATTTCCCTAAAATATAACTTTATAATAAAAATGTTTAAATTTTAAACATTATAACGAGCAGAAATTTAGCACAATCTTCGTTCTTACCTCTAATTTTTCCAGAGATTGAGGCCCAGCATCTTCATATTCATCACAATCTGCTGTTGTAACTGTTGTAATAGAACGTTCTTGCATAGCCGACATTATTAATATCGAAAACTTAATATATTTTTATTTGCTTTTTAACCATTTGTTTTTGTTTAAAAATACTTATTTAATTTCATAAGCTTCCCAGTTCCCGCATTAAATTTTAAATTGAAGTGTTGCCAACAGAACAGCGCAACATTATTTAGCTAATTGTCATAAACTAAAACAAATTTCAAAAGAATTTGGACTCATTTACACGTTTATGCATTGACGTCATGTTCAGCATCTTTTTTATTCTAGATAAATAAAATTTATCTAACGAGGGTACGAGAAACATAAAAGGAGTTAAGTTGAAAATATAAAACGCTCCGTGATGAAAACCTTTTAGTAAAAGTACTTGGAAAGAGCAAAATGTCAATTAAGATATTGCTCAAAATGTCAATTAAGATATTTGAATGGAGTAATAATGTTTTTGTAGTAACATTTGTAAACCATTCATGAAGTTCTCTTTATATATATTTTATTAAACCTCAATACATTGCTTCCTCCTAGTAAGAAAAATAGTAATAAATTGAAAAATAAGATATTTTAGATATTATTTTAACATTTTTGGATTTATTTTGTGTTTGAAGTTTTGTGTAAAAAATTAATATTTTTGAAGGAATATATAACATACATAATAACTTTATACACTGAATATATTAGGTTTGTCTGGTACAAAACGTGAAAAAAAGAGAAAAACAGTGATGTCACTTCTCGCAAAGAAAATAAATTTTGATTTAAAAAAAATTAACAAGACAGTTGAAAAAACTTAACAAAATACCTAATAAACGTCAAATTTCAAAATATTTATCAAGTACTACATACATTAAGAAGAACATATCTTTTGACAGCTTTATGATTTCAAAGTTCTTAAAACACTAAATTTTACTCAATAAAACTTGAAAAAACTTTTAACATTGAGAAAACGATGACGTCATCATCTTCACTAATTTTTTTTCAATAAGTATTATAACAGACTGCATACTAAAACTTTATAAGTTTTTTCATATGTTATAAAGTTTTTAAAAATTTTCTTATACCAGAGAGACAATTGAGTATCTCGCAGGGTAGTTTATTTACACTCGCGGGGTAGTTGAAATAGAACACTCGTAAGTGCTTTCTGTTGTGAACGAGTTTATTTATTTTGAGTTGGAATATGTCATAGGCACGACAGACATCTGACTCCTTTTGCAAATCGAGCTCTGAATTTAAATTCCTGACTATTGATTTAAAAGCCAGTTGTTTATGTAAATAATAATTTTGTGAAGAGGAAAAACAAAAGCATATTACATAATTTAAATAACGTAAATATAAAACATGACAGAAGCAAAAAAGGATGATTGCCATGATGGAAATATTGGGAATGTAGGAAGTTTTGACACGCAAAATTCGAAAGAAGTTTACTTTCAGGTAGTATTTCGATTTTTATTTATACATTTCGTCAAGTATAAAATAATTTAATAAGTTTTTGTTCATGTATGCATTTAGTCAAAGGAATATGTACACTATAACGCAAAATTTTTTTGAACTGTTTATGGGACTTGCTTACATAAAAATAAAATTCTTGTTTCAGGTTTTAAGAACATGGATAAACCAAGCAAATATGGCTCAGTCTGCTATGGCGTATTTCCCGTATTATTTAATGACCAATTATTCTCAATTACTACAACAGAACTCAAACAATTCAACGCCTAATATAAACAATTTTGCAACATCAAACAACAATGGCAGAATAAATGAAATTGATGGTAGACTAAATGATATTGCGGATGTGGAATTGCGTCAAGAACAAAGTAAATATAAATCTTTTCATATTTCGCTGACATTTGATGTTGTTCTTTTAGTTATAAACCAGAATGGAGGTTACGAATTTATAATTGCTCCTTTTTGGAAGAGACTTCTAGCTGAAACAATCGACGTCGCAATTTTATTACTCCTTAAACTAATCATTACATTTTTAATAGTCGATCTTTTCGATTTAGATCTGTAAGAAACCAAAATTTCTAACGATAAATTATGTTTCAATAATTTTCGTTTTAGTGGAATAGATTTTGATTTAGATGCGTTGAAAAAATCAATTGAGGATGACTATACAGAATTCTTGTCTTTATCGTCAGATCTTTTATTTTTGGAAGTAGTAACAAAGGTTGGAGTGTGTATATATGAAGCGCTTTGGACTATGAATGGGAATGTTTACGTTGGCGGGGCTACTCCTGGTAAAGTATTACTTGGCTTGAGGATAGTTCATGTAGAAGCTGTTGTTCCACTACAGGCGCAAGTGGGTTTAAATTTAAATAACGGACAGCCTATGAGGGCATTACTATATCCGGCATCAAATCTTGGTTTCAGACGAGCTTTTTTACGTGCTATAGCAAAAAATATTTTGACAGCTTTTCTATTTCCAATGTGTTTTATTATGATATTCTTTTTTTTCAAATCAAATCGAACAATTTATGATTTAATGTCCAAAACAATTGTAGTTGAGGAAAACCATGCTCCATTGCTACGCAGACGCTAATTTCAGTTTTATTATAAGAAGCATAATTATTGTGATCTTAATACTTTTTTAACTGATTGATTTAAAAATCCTTGTATGTAAGAAATTATTACACTTAAATAAATATTACATGGTCGTTGTAATTTCAGCTTATTGTTTATTATGATACATTTTCGACTAACTTATAAGCTAAGAAGAATTAACACATCTTTAAAATTGTCTTTCCCAGACATGGAAATTGGCATGAACAATTTGCAAGGAGATGAATGGGTTTGATTTAATCTTAGTATTACTTTTTTTCCTCAATTGTCGTTGCTTTGTCATCAATTGATTCCACCGTATCATTTTCTCTATCCTCAGAACTATCATCCAAATGCGCTAACCCCTCAATGTCGTTATTATCATCGGCCTGACCCATGTCGCTTTTATTGTATACCGATGGGTAATTGCTAAAACAATCTTGCATAGTTTTAAAAGCATCATAACAATCTGACCCTTTTGGTTCGGCTTGACTATTAACATATTAATGTTAGTATTTTCTTAAATAATATATTTTATTTACCTGTAGTGGAAACAAGAAAATGCTTCTCTGAATTCTACTCCGCACGGTCCAGTTGCCATTCCTCCTAAACATGGACAGTTCCAATTAATTTCTCCATCAGGTAATATAAGACCAGGGGCTGGTTCCGGTGGTGGCAATTTTATTGTACTTGGCGTTGAATGATCTTCAGCAGTAGCAAAAATAACGGTATCTTTTCCAAAAACTTTACTAATAGACATTTTATTTGCTAAATATAATTCTTTAAAAACGATGTTAAAACAGGTGAAGCACTATTCACTTTGAAATGACAAGGTATCCCTTGAAACTTTGCAATTAAAGTTATTGATGCTCTAGTTTTGACGTAATAATCTTCAGACACTCTTATGATTGCTCTTTTCCTGTCCTTATCAAATTTTATAATGTCAACTGTTGTATTTCCTCCCAATTCTCCGAAATTTAATTTCAAAGAGTGTTCTATGCTTCCCTTAAAAAATATTGCTGCCAAATTTTCAACTTCCTCTGCAAACTTTCTGCAACATTCATTTAACAAAAATTTCTTAAAATTTTATGCTAATTTTTCTTTTACAATATTAAATAAACTTTCAATAAGTAAAAAATATTTTCTTACAGCGAAATATCTAAATAAAGGTATCCAATCATAATATGATACTAATTAACTCCAACCTCAATTTAAGAAAAGTACCATTTTTTAACCCTCAACTGATATTTGGGGGTGAAATATCTGTCTTAAAAATTGTTTGTTGCTATTTAATTTTTTTCAAATTTATTTCACACCCCAAAAAGCTTTAATATTTATTTTTTTTATTTATGAAAAATTGAATTTATTTACTCAAAAAATTTTAAAATTCTTAAAGTAGTAACCGTATTATTACAAACTTTATCCTTTGTCACTACTTTTTAACATTTTATGTATTTTCGTTTCAAAAATAAATTCGTGTTTTTTTTTAACTAAGAGTGTTCACAGTAAAAAAGTTCATGCTTTTCTTTACGATTAGAGTATAAGCGCTACGAGCTTGCATATAAATTTTATAATTCACTGAGATTTGGTTTTATTTTGACATTTCAAATTTGAAAAATTATTAGATTACAGATTAACTCCTATCTATACTATTTTAGTTTCAAAATGAGAATTCCAATTGACTTCAGAGTAGAACAATAAACTTAAAAATGGTAAACTTCAATGTGAGAATAGGTAAAGTAAAAATTAAAAAAGTAATCTTCTGTTGTTTAACTTTTAAATACACAATCTCATATTGAAATTTTTTATTCTCATATTGAAGTTTACTATTCTCATTTTGAAATTTGCTATTCTTATTTTAAAACTAAAATGAATCTACTACAAAATGTTTTAAACTATTTAAAATGAGCTTCGCCAATTCTAAATCTAATGAAATTTAACCTGTGTGCTAAAAAAAGGAAAACGCCCATTGCGACAAAAAATAATGTTGTATATTTTGACTTAAATTCACTCACCAATCTCTTAAGAAGAAATTTTCTAAATAAAAATCACTTTAGATACTCACCAAATGTCGAGCAAGCCATTGCACTTTATGAATAAAGCGACAGAAGAAATGTTGTGTGTAAACGCTAATATTTTTCTTCCAATTTTTAAATATCACAATGCATTTAGACTACTGGGCTGATTGTCTATGTCGCTATTTTACTCGGAAAGTGAGAAGAAAGTGATTAACTATCATGTACTTGTATCATATGTAATTTTGGACTGAGAAGAATTATTAGGTATTGCGTATCTAGTTTTTTTCTAAAATGCATACAAAATTTAATCACTTTTTTTTTGAAAGTGAAACGTTCAGTCGGTAATTTGACAAAAAATGCGAAAATCCAATTAAAAACATGAGTAATCTTATACATGAGCACATTAGCACAATTTTATTTTTTATAATTAATCAAACTTCGATTTGAAAAAATTTTTTTTAATCATCTGTTTTGGAATTTTTTTTATACCCGAGGCTTATTTTATCTCATTTTTGATATAAAATCATTTTTATAATTTGCAACCGAATTTCCAACAAAATGGAATATTTACAAATAAATTATTGTTAACAAAACATAATTTTCTGTTTACGTCCACGATAAAATGTACAAGCCTGATAAGGATCATATATGTAAACTCTGTTTGATATCAGATTTTGACGTCAAAAAATATTTATATCACTTTTTACTTAAAATTTTTGTAGCAAATTGTTAAATTTTAAGGTTGAGTGTGAAATAATTTCAGTCTCATAAGTAATATTATTGTAGATTTTAGACAATGTCGCATACATATGTGAATAGTACTTAACAGCTGTCAAATGGATTAAATGCTACCAAAAAGTGATGTACTGAAATTATACATTTATGCAGTCTTACAAGAGGTTTCCCAAATGCCATTATGTCAAAAATGATAACTTGGGATTTTATATTATATGTACTGGAAAAATGCTGGTTATTATTTAATTAAAACAAAAAATTTCCTTATAAATATTTTGGTTTTTGTTTGTTTTTATTAGCATTGGCAACATTAAATTTTGACATATCAAAGACATTTTGAATTTTATCTTCGTTGTTCAATGCCTTGTGTCAGTTTTAATTGAGAAATGTAACAAAAAATCGTGGAATTTTCTTTAAAAGAAGAAATCGTTTTTTTTTTGCTATAAAAACCAAAATATTTACAATATATGATAAGTTTATATAAAAAATATTATAAGTTGTAATGGAAATTATATAAATAATAAAAAGAAAAGTGGAATTTAAATAGGATAATATCTGAAAATAAACGAAAATTTTAATGGATCTTAAGCTTACATCAAAATAAAAAAAAAAAAGAATTGGTGCCACGCAAAAAAATTTTGTAAAAATAAAATATTTTTAATTGTGTTTTTCAATATTGAATATTAAAGTAATTCAATTCATATTAGTGAAAAATATTAATTTGTTTAAAGATAAAATAAATTGTTTTTGATATTATTGTCTCTTTTTATCTTTTGTGCTTCATAAAAAATAATTTACTTTTAACTGTATAACTAATCACAAACATTATATAAAAACCTTGAAAATCTTGAATTGTGTTGTTTCGATAAACATTCATAATAATTTCATTCGGCCAATATTTTCACAAAAATACAATTTCGAAATGGGTAGAGAAAAACCTCCTGTTCCGGTAATAAACGAGACTGGAGGCGAAGTTTTAATTATAAAACCGAAAGAAAAAAGAAGGTTTGTAACAGATTCAGTATTATTAAATAAAACATTTCTTCTAACATATGTTGTTTTAGTTATAGTTTTAGAAAATCATTTGATGCATTAGAAAAAAAATAAAAACGCAAATTAATTGTTTTTTCTCATATGTATTTCATATAATATCTTTGAAAGATTTCTTGTTAATAAGTAATCAGAAACAAAATTTTATCAAGAATTTTGGTCTGTACTGACTGACCTGTTTTTTTTGCAAGTAAACATACAATGAATAATTTCTAGATCATTACGTTCACATGCATGTTAAATTTATTGAATCACTATATTTATTATGAATACATTTAGATAATGTTCAAACTCACAAATATTTTGTATAGTAAATATGCATAAGGAATAACATATTGATAATGCCTACACAAAAACAAAAATAATCAAAATAATAATAATATGGGTCGTCGACTACTTTTGTTTTTGTATTTTACCCTTTGTCAGGTACATTATGTACATATATAATTTCACAGTATATTATATATATATGCAATATTATGTAGATAGGTATGTATGTATATTGCAATTTTACTTTATGCGTCTCATTTTGTAATTTTTACAGGTTCTTTTTCATTTTAAAGAAAAATTTTATTTACTAAATATATAAATAGGTAGGTACCTACCTCAAAAACAAAAAATACATAAAAACTGCTTTTAAAATTGTTTATAAATTTTTTACTCCGTATAGTATAGTTGGTAGGGTCTATATACATAACTACTTAAAATTTAATGAATTTTTGGAGAAATTATGATCAAACCAACAAATACGTATGTAGCTACTGGGCTTCCCTATTTTTTAATTTCTTCTTTTAAAACTTAAAATTGCCAAAATAAGTATATTAATTTCTATTAAGGTAGAAATTCCGAAGTTCGAAACATTTTTATTTTAATTTTTTCTTTTTTTACGTTATTTACATCTTTTTTATATTATATCTACTTATCTATGTATGAAAAACGCATACATTCTAGAAATTTTAAAAAAGAAATAGCTCACATGCTAGAAATATATAGGACAAAAAATGGTCTGAAATATTTAAATAATGTAAGAAAGGCTTTGTTTAAAATTTCAAAATTCATCTCTGCACTTTACTAAGACATATATTCCTCATTTAAAGTACAAGTGAAATTAGTAGTGAATTCAGACCTAATTGTGTCTGAAAGTTTTTTAAAGTACATATTTCAAATTTATTAATTAAAAGAATTGGCTAAAGATCTAGATAATTGGATAAAGATTTTAAATCAGAAAAATCAAAACTAAGTAAATCTTGAATTCAAAATTTAAATTTAAGATAAAGTTACAACATCGACTATAAAAATCGAACTATTTATGCCTCACAAAAATGAAAAATTAAAATAAAATCACTTGGGAGCTTGAAAATCACCTTAATCATAAAAACTATATACATATATACATATTTTTATAAGGGTATTTTTATTTTACGTTGTAAGTATTTTGATTTTTAGGTTGCTTCTTGTAAGAATTTTAAGAAATTATTAGAAAAAAGCTCGTATTAGAACCAAATTAAATCCATAGTACCGAATTATAGCCGTTTACTTTATATACATATGAATATATATGAGTATATTTATACATTTTCAGTGTTGCAGCAAGGCAAACATAACTCAAAATCCACATATTTTACGAAAGCGGATTTTAATAGCACTATTTTATAATGTATTTAAAGCGACAAAATTAAAGCTAGAGAAATAAGTAGTGTTTTTCACAAAAAAGAAATGTTTGTAAGTGATTTTTTTGCTGCATAAATAACTCAGAAATCGGATTTTTTGATCCGTTGTTCAAAATGTTGCAGAAAACGAGCGACATTTTGATAACACTAAATAAACTGCTATCTATACTATTTCAGTGTATTTTTACTTCAGCAAATGTTAATTAGCAATAAGTTCTTATTGTATATGTATGCATGTATATGTATCAACCAATCAATTTAGTTGACACTGTTCTATTACTCGTAACATTAACTATTTTTAAATTATGGTAATTATTTGAATATTATTTTATTGTAACCTCATCAGACACGCATTTTTGACTTAGGAAAGAGTAAAAAATACAAGTAACCATTATATGAAGAAATTTCCATTGAGTTAAACGTAATACCAAGAAAAATCATTGGTATTGTTCGAAGTACCTAGTTGTTAAAAATTTAATATTAGCTTTATAGTTTGTGCATATATAGCTAGTATTTATCTTTCAGAAAATTGACCAAAACAAAAACCAGAGTAATTTGTGCGAGTTCATAAAAGAAAAAACAATATCTATATTGTAAAAATAATAATTAAAGCCAAATTTTTTTAACAATAATTTTATTTACACAATACAGTGACAAAATTTTAATTTTTATTGTTTTTCTCGTTTTCTTTTTTTTCGCGTCTTTTCATATTATCACTCTGATATTTATATAGCTGAAAAAAAAAACACGTTTGAGAAATTAATATTTTGTTTTTCAAAAAAAAAAAAAATTTCTATTTATACTTAAAAAATTCTTTTCACACATTTTTCGAGAGAATTTTATAACACACAATAAAAAGCGGTTTACTTATATACACATGATTATTATGATATACATATGTATGTACATATATACATAAAGATATGCATATACAAGTAGATAATTATATTTGTTATAATATTTTTATGGATTAATAATATTATTTGGATTGGAATTCTTCCTATTAAAATGATTTTAGTTTAAAATTTATATTTGGTTTTTTTTTCCAAATTGATTAAACTTAAGAGATAAGTAAGCAGATTCAAGCAGTTTAATGAAACATTTGCAGCTTATTAAATACACTTATGTGCATACATATACGTATGTATATACATTTTTGCAAATAGTGCATTACTAAAAGAAGAAATTATGTACATACATACAATTTGGTATCGTTTGAATAGTTTTCGTCGTTAGAAAAAAAATTTTTTCCTTCTCGATCTCCTCTCAAGTTACATATCACCTCTCGAAATTAGTAAAAATTGAATTTTCAGCACCTTCTATTTCTATATATGCAGAAAGCTAACAGTAAATGGAATGCCATTGAAAAACACACGCAATTATATATCTTAACTCACGCAGTCACGCAATTATTGGTTGAATTTACCACTGTATTCGTTTCTTTAATTTTTCTTTGTCTCATCCTAAATGTATGCAATCATTGGAAATATTTTTGTATACGAAATTTCATACAATTTAAATAATGTAGTAATTATGTATCTAGAATGTGTTTAACAGCGTTATTTTCAGTTTTTGAAGGGAAAAATGCTACTTTACAAGCCATTGGTTAGACCCAGCATTATTTTTTTGAAAACCAAAAAGTTTTTTTTATTTTTATTTAAACTTATAAAAATTGATCTTAATGAACGAATAATATTATTTTATTTAAATGAATATTGAAATCATTAAATTTTTTTTGGGAAAGTGTCTGATTTCAATAATGCGACAAAACCTATTCGATACTTATGAGTGAACTGTAACTCCTATCGTAATTATATTTTATTATGTCGGATTATTAATGAAACTGTTTTTGAAAAATGTAGTATTTTGAAAATATGATTTCAATTTACGTAATTATAGTCAATTAATAAATTTAATTGTATTCAAATGGGAAAAGTCATTATCAACATATTACGTCTGCAGGTTTAAACTAAAAAAAGCGCATGAATATTTGATTAGTATAAGTAGTTAACTAATAATTTGCATAGGTATTACTTAAAGATTATAAACGTACTTAGAATGTTTCACATAGCTTTTTTTTAATATTTTTTTTTTAAAGATTAAATTAATTTAAATTTTTAAAAATAAAATTTTTATATTTGTATGTATTTTGTAATTCTATATACTTACATAGAGTTAACAAACATTTAATAATAATTACATGTACTTAGTAGACATTGTGATTATTTTCTGTGTTTCGTTCATCACAAGTTTTAATCGAAACAAGTATAAAAATTAAAAAAAAAATTTTAGTCACTTATTTACAAAGTTTTTCTTGTTTTTCATTGAGTTTAACTAAATATTTTTTCTTTATTTATTTAATAGTTTCACTTTTCGAGAATAAGGTCATCAAAATTTTTAAATACTTATAATAAGTATACATTCTTATTTGTATATATGTATGTATGAAATTAATGCATTTAATGAATAAATATAAATATAAGAATATCATAAAAACAAATTTTACTCGTTTTATTCAAGAAAATTTTGTTATTTTTAAATACAAACAGTCAGTAATGTTTTACTATATGAAATAATTAAATTAACTAAACTATTTAATTTAAAGTATAAAACTAATTTGTACATTAATAGATTTAAACATGGTATGATAAGAATTAAAAGTAATATAATATTTATAATATATTCATTTAACATACAATATTAGGTAATTATCACCTTATTGATAGGTGTCATGAATTCCACTCGTTGGATTCTAAAATTACGAACTTAGCTACAACGTAGAATTCTTTTCGTAGAGATTATAAATCAGCAATGGCAGTATTATTTTTTGGAGTTTGAAAATCAGTATTTCATACAAAATTTCAAAAACGCTTATTAAGATCGATTTTAATAATTTTAAATAAAAATAAAAAACTTTTCATACAAATTTTCATTCAAAAGGATATTTCTTATATGCGGAGTTTTGTTATTTATTTTTAGTTTTTGAATATTTTTGATAATCTTCATGGTAGTTGTGTTGAGTTTCTATCAAAAGAGAAACTCAAAAAGAAAAATTCAAAACGGAAGAATTTAAAACGACCGTGCTTGTATAAAATTGTTTGTTACGTGTGTGTATTTCTTTCGAAGACTTTTGACATTTATTTTTAATACGAACGTAATTTAAGATTACTTAATCTATTACGAATATTCGGTGCAAAATTTTAGTAATTTGAAATTGACAATATTACATTCGTAATTTTTCGAATTTCAGGCCTGATTATATAGTTAATTATGTTTATGGTAAGC